GTGCGTATTTCTCCCTCCTTTGTCGATAAATCACGGGCTCCTTTTTCAAGCAACATCTTTTGTTCCTGGCACAACAAAGAAACAAGCTTTGTTGTATATGTGCCAAGAATTGCAGAATTCCTCCGCGTAGATTAGCTATTCTCTACGCGCTACGCGCAATCCATAGTGTCGGAGGATTTGGTTTTTCGTCTTTTGTTGTTGGTAGCATGTCTTCAATACGACTTAACAGATAATGACGCATATTTATATTCCAGATAAGTTCTAGCTGTGTAGCCATTACATCCCACGCATTTCTTTTGCAACTTTACTGATCATCTTTAAAGCTTATTTCCCTAATTCAATTTTACACCAACACACGAAACTTCCAGGAGAATTCTAGTTACTATTCTTGTTCCTACTGTTTACGTGAAATCCTACCAAAATGGTATTTTATGAACTGAATCATAGGCCCTGTATCCGCAGATATTTCTGAGATGAGAATGCATTACAGCGTAGAGCACAGGATTTTCGCCTTGGTCGTCTGTAGGTTTTAACAATCTATAATTTCCGAATTTCACGAGACATAAAAAGGCTATGAAGTCACAAATCGAGTACTCAAAACTTTTATCAATGCACTTGGAGAAGCTTATGGCTTTGCCGGTATCCAATCAATACTCAATTTCACACGTGCGTCCCAGCGTTTGGAAGTCACTAGCACGTTTAACAGCGCTAAGTTTTCTACAAATCAATCATTAAAACAATAAACAATCATTCGACGTACTTCTAAGAAATATGGAATATAAAATTCTTCAACGACCTGTTCCGATTCGGAATTATATTTTAACACTTCTTGGACAGGAGATCGGCCTACGTCAAACTCTCCACTTGCGCAAGACGATAGAGCCCAGAAACGGAAATACATTCACACGGGACTCAAATCCGCGTTCTGAAACCACTCCAAAATCGAAATTAAGCATTAATATATCTCAAAACAAAAGTTTTATCATTGCCTGAACTTTCATTTAGAATATTAAGCCCGTTTAGGAACAGGCCTACTCCATGTCGCCGGTAAATCTGAAATTCATAGCTAATACCTGTCCAAACAAACCTAAACAATTTTTGCCGTATGATCTTAATAATAAAACATCCACCTTCATCAGAAACTTTCCCTCTCATTTCCCGTACAAATTAATATAATTTTTTATCTAATATGTACAGCCTACTTCGTCAAAAGTACAAACACGTAAATAAATTCTGTACATCAGTTATGTCACTTTCCTCACCACAATATTGAAAACATATTTTAAAGTTTCTACTTTCTGGAACTGAACGAACACCAGTACTTTTTTTTTCTAAAAATAAACATATTTAACAGTTATCTCAGCCAAAGTACACGGGAATTACAGCTGCTTAAAGGCTGAGGCAGAATTGGTTTCGTTATTGGATTGTAGTCTGCGAGTTGAATGATGATACCGGTAGGTGGCAGGCGAAGCAAAGGCATATAGTGCTGGCATCTGTCGGCAAATAAATGTAATGAGGAATAGTCATTCTTTTTATCATTTGAGGGAACGTAGACCGAAAAAGCAATGGGATGAAAATTGTACTGAAGATACGAGACATTGCTCCGACTTGTTCAACTTGCAGGAAAATCGGTTTTACTATTTACGAGTTCCACTGATAACCTAAGGACTCTTTCTTAAATGTCGGTTCTAGCTAGAAATTCTGCTATAAAAGCGCTTAAAAATACACATAATGTATTACGTCCATATTAGAGTGTCACGTACACGAAATCATCCCAAGAAATTTTAAGCGAAACGAAAGACCCACATCGAGCAGACACATAGAACTAAGTTTGAGCTACAGCCAACTTTACGCTTATTTGCATACCTCGTCTTTAAAACGACTTGACGGATTTTTATGAAAGTATGTACGAGGGATAGTCAATGAAATTATATCAGTATCGATCCGATATAGATAATCTCTCCTTTACACGAAGCTCAAATCGAACAGCAGTCGTATCGATAAGACGACGGTGGGAACCCCAAGAAATATTTAATAGGGCAACACTGCCAAACAAAAGTGCTTGCAATGGACGAACTCTGAACAAGACACGACGACTATTTGCTGGTATCGACATATGCAGAGGTGACCCACCGAGAAAATAAGGCAAATCGATTATCTTTCGCGCCATGCCTTTAAATGTAACTCCGTGTTGCCACACACTTATTATTTCGAGATAAATCCATGATATATGATAACGTTATATACTTAATAGCTTCAAGTTACGCGTATGTAATAGGTCGCATTAAGATTAATTCCTTCTTGCGTAACAGAACCAAAATTTAAAGAGATATTCGTTATTTATATAGCCCTAACTTTATGGTGTAGATTCCTTCCTGTGAATGAAATAGTAGCTCAGTTCGTCAAGAAATTCCCTGCATTATATTAAACTCGAAACCTCAGTATCATGTTCACAACATTCCGCCAACGGACCCTGTTCTGTGCCAGATTATTCCATATCACATCCTCACACTTTATTTTTTAAGATCCATTTTAATATTATCGTCTCTTCGAAGCCTAGTGGTCTCCACTCCAGGTTTCAGTCCAATTATTTGTGTTTTTCAATTCAATCAGGCAGTTCATGTGCAAACCAGAACAGAATGGAGAAGCGATAATTAGTAGTTTTCCTCAGTTACTTCAGACGAATACCGGGATAGTACTTTAAAACAGACCAAGATCGCTTTAACCCTAGTACATTCGAATTCAACATGCTTTACCATCCTCTCATTTTAATCAAAGATACGTATCTTTGCAGTTGACATGGCGTCCTTAAATTACCTAAAAATTCAAGCATATCAATGCATAAGACGGAAATCTGAAAGTTGCAGCAGGAGGCGAGGCAAAGTTATTTCCTCCCGCAGTTCTGCGCACTTATGTGCTTATAATGTAGACCTGTAACATGTGTAAGACAACTTCGATCGTGGTGACCCTTCTTGCAAACTCTTACAAAACCCTTTCATTTCGTTTTCTTACGCTACACCAACCCCGTCGGATCTATCAAGGATTCTATACAAGAAACAGACATAGAGAAACGTCGAGAAACTATGGGGAAACCCCACGAGGGAAAGCAACAAAACGAAAATACAGACGCCATCAGTAACACCGACTCTAATCCCAGAAACTTCAAATGAAACTTTCCTCAAACTAAGAAGTCCGGAAACGATAGAAACCAGACAGATAAAACTCTTAACTGAGACAAACATTAGGAACAGACAAGAAGCCAAAATCAACTAAGTGTGACCAAATGACAGGTGAACATTGCCGACGGTCGTCACTAACCTATTCCATCTCAACCAAATTCAAGTAAATCTGAACCACAACAGACGAACATTGATCGATCTCGACGACAGCAACAGATACATAAGCGACTTCACATTCCTCCTCGTTCAGAACCAGAATTAATTATACCGAAGACAATCCAGCGACTTTCTCGCATTATCCCATCTTTAATGTGCCAGTTAAAAGTTACATACACGTAACTGTTTACATTGTAGGCCCCATATAACATTTATTTAAGGCTCAGTTTTCGTCCTTAGGAAGGCCTACGGATAAAAACGCAAATGCTCGCGAACTTAAAAAGGAACCTATGCTTACGACACAGTGGGACTTACAAAAACGGTTGGTAAAGCGTGAGTTAGGAGACAAAACTCTTTATGTCGTGTGTGGTTTGTATGTTGGTGAACCTGGATAAACGGTATCGGAATTGAGGGATTTGATATATTTAAACCCGCAATCAGCTTCCGTTACGACGCCATTACTCAAATGTTCTCAATACCAGTAACCGAACTGTCTGCGAGCAACTAACGTGGAAATATCCTGCACAAAATTCATTTATTTGTTATTTATTTAACGATGATGTCAGCAGCTCGTACTAAGCAATAAAGCGTCGAATGATAGGTTGATGGACTGCAAAGGATAAGGAAGGAAGGGGCCGTGGCCTAATTTAAGGTACTATACTCGCACTAGCCAACGGGACCGAGAAAAAGTACGAAAACCTGTCAGGATTTGAACCCGGGACGTCCCAATATGAAGCAGTAATAGCGTAATAGTGCAAATCGACTGTCCGCGACGTTCGGCTTTAAATACACGTTTGTGGGTGGTAACAAAAGTGTGGCGAGCATTTACAAACCCGCAAATAATAAAGCTTAATCTCCGAGGTGGTCTTTGAGCCAAGGTTTTGCTTATATATTTGGGGGGTGGGTTAGGTCAATATAAGTAATGAAATCGGGGAAAACTCAGGCATATATCAATTGCATGAGCCAATATCAGTTTTCAGAGCCACCATACATTTAACCCACGAGCCTCTGCTGAATAGAAATGTTTGTTTCTCTTGAGCAGAACAAGCATTACGTATTCATTCAGGTACAGTGCAAACGCAATCATATCATTAAACCGTTCACCATTACCGCATGCTGAAAGGTGGTCTTCATTAACATCAGGATTAATTCTGAGGTGTGACTGTAATTTGTTTCAAGCAGTTACGAGGACGTATCTCAGAATTCTAAACGTACGCTTGGATCCCACAGCTAACACCAGAATTGCATGGTTTACCATAATCTCTAGTTGTAATCTCTCAGATTTCAGATTACGCCAGTATAAAATTCACTCCAATTAGTTTCGTCGGGTACACATCAGTGAGAAACGCTGTAACCACAAGTCTCGTAATTCACAGATTACATTACCGCTTAGTCACCTTCAACAAAATACCGAATCCAACACTACCTGTGTAACAGTCTAAAGGGTTATGGCTCGATAACGGGTCTTGGATTCCGTGGAAGGCGTTGAAAATATTACACGCCTTAATTAAAACAATTACAAAATTTCATTCTAAAGCAGACCATTCACACACAAGAACATGTCTTCGGGCGTGCATCTTGACGGTCTGTGCTAGTGCCTGTGGGGGAAGTTCGCGATCTGGTCTGTCAGAAATATCCAAAGAACTACGACGAGGAATATTTTGTTTTGTTTTTTTGTTTGTCATCAGTCTTTCGACTGGTTTGATGTGGTCCTCCATTTTCGCCTATCTTGCGCCAATCTCTTCATTTCCACATATTTTTTGCAGCCCACATCCTCAGAAATCTGCGTCATATATTCCAATCTTTGTCTCCCCCTACAATTCTTCCCTTCAACTGTTCCTTCCATTACCAAATTAACCAATCCTGGGTGCCTCAGAATGTGTCCCACCATCCCATCTCTTCTTCTCGTAAGATTTTTCCTTCGCCTATCCTGTCTAAGACCAGATCATTTCGTACTTTATCCGTCCACTTAATTTTCAACATCCTTCTATAGCGCCACATTTCAAATGCTTCTATCCTTCTTCTTTCTGGCTTTCCCACCGACCACGGCCTAGAATACGTGGAGGCTCTAATTCTATTCCTGTCTTACCCTTAAAATGATTCTCAAATACAGGGACAACTTAATCTTTACCTGAACTTCTATGACTGACTGTTCGCCCTGGGGCACCTTATGGTTACCTTCAAACCATCCAAATACCAGAATTTTATTTTAAAATAGGCCATGGCACCTCCCTCCCAATTCAACTTTCCCAACTATTCTCGTCACTTTTTTGGTGCTCACAAACAAATGTTCAAATCAATGCAAATTACATTTGATTGAAGCCCTTCTTACCAAGCACCCAAACACTAGATGTAACACACGCAGTTGAGAAAACATCATTAAATAATATAAATAATGTCATAAAGTAACAGTTACAGATCACTTGTTGCAGTGTCGTGAAGCAGACCAACTGTATGAACTTTCGGCGTTAGAGGTCCTACATCAGTGGTCCCCAACGCGGCGCCCGGCAAGGCTTTTTTTGGGTGCCCGCGTTGATACGGAAAGAGGTTATACTGAATAATGAAGGCCGTTCAACCACAAAACATTATAAAATCAAAGCGCAGATCTCGACTTACTGACGCCCACCTTCACGATTGTCCGCGAGCAGCAACATCATCCTACACTCCCAAATTTGAAAAACTGGCCGATGAAATGCAGCGCCAAACGTCACACTAACTTCCTACTTAATAATAATAATTGTACTTATAAAACTACGTATTTTTGATTGCGTGGTTTCTTGTATCATTAAACGTTGTGTTGTTTTGTGTATTATTTGGTGTCCATAACTTATTTGTCCAGAGAAAAGAAAATTTGGCTTTGTTAATTGGTTGGTGCCCGCCACGATCTCATAAACTCTCAAATGTGCCTGTAGGCACAAAAAGGTTGGGGGCCACTGGTCTACATAGACACAATTTCAATACAACGGAAACGGAAAACTTTCTCCTTGGCAGACTGCCACATAATGCCAGTAAAAGAAGGTAATTACACAAGATACAACCTCTTACAAAAACTGAGGCATCCCCCAACAAAAGAAAGTACACCTGCAAACCAACTGCTACCATCTGCTGTCTTGTTACAGAAAACTACTTTTATTCATTTGTCTAGGGTCGTGGCACATTTCCAAATTTCTTGTTATTTAAGGCCACATAAAATAAATGTTAGTACTTTTATGTATCCCCTCGGACAGACAGACCTAACAGAGGACCGAATGGAAGAGGAGAATGAGGAGGCCATGGACCGAATACGGACCGGAGAGCCATAGAAGAAGAAGACTTTTATGCATCCTCTGCATAGTGTAAAAAATTAACTAATTTTTAACTCTGAAATAACTGCATGACCTAAATGAAGTTTGGGAAATGCGGACCTTGTTAATATCCCCTCTGTTTAACGTTCCCTCTCTCTCTCAGTAAATACTGGACTGATTTCATTTCATAATATATGCCACATATGCAAAATATGTAAAAAGAACATTGGAAAATGTTGCATGATAGCCAAACCATCGGGTAATTCACTTTAGTTTCATCACGCATCATTATTGTAAAAGAATAATTTGAAATTGTGGGTTCGTGATTTCATTTCTTACTTATATGGAGAAAAAATAAATGGGGTTCAAGAAGGCTGCAAGAGAATTTAATGTATCAAAGATATCACTTCAGAAGCATATGCAAATAACAGACGAAACCTGAGAGAAAACAATTCATACAAAATTGTGGATGGATATGATTTTCTCCCAAACTGTAGAAAAAGAGTTAATAGAATACTGCTTACGAACGACCAAAAATATTTCGCTCCAACGAGGCAAGACATGAGGATGGCAGTTTTCCAACATGCTAAAAAGTATGACTAAAAATAAACACAGTTTCTCTAAACAGAGAGAATCTGCTGGAAAAGAATGGATGTATAGTTCTTTAAACCTCCATAAAAACTAAAATTTTAATTCAATCTGAAATAGGAACACCATTCATCAGAGTGAACAGAATAAGCAAAACTAATGTTAATGCTCTTGATGGTACCTGCACCTTGTCGTGGTGGTGGGGCTTCAGTACCTCAGTGGCAGTAGCGTAGCTACTGGTAGGGCCTCCCTAGGAGGAGAGGTCAGACTAAGACAGGTACCCTGGTCCTCCAGGTTGGGGGTTGGTCGCAAGGCTAACAACCTTGCACCGTAAAAAGGAAGACGTTTCGAAACCTCAATCAAAGCCTCGGACAGACGAACCTAACAGAGGACCGAATAGAAGAGGAGAATTGAGGAGGCCATGGACCGAATACGGACCGGAGAGCCATAGAAGAAGAAGAAACTTGCAAAGAAAAGAATAATAAACTCACCATGTTTCCTCGATGTCCGCATCTTCCATGGAATTAACTAATCTTGCCCTTCCAGATATATTAGTGTACTGCGTGTAAACACCGTCTTCATGCAATTTAACATCAACAGCATATCACGAGAAGCCATCCTAACTGCACGAGCAAAGACCATATGTGAAATGAAGTTCTGGAAGGGGAGTTAACATAGTTGATAACCATCATGAAAAGCAATGAAAATATGATTAATTAAATGATTATAATTATTATGAGACAAGTTCTATTATAACCTAAAAAGGAAGGCAAAATGGGGTTGCTTTAATCTTCTGAAAGTCTAACAGTCATGTGGTAATTAAATAAATCAATTAAATGACTACTGCAACTCTACCCTGTTAATTACTATAAAACCTAGCATAAAAGAGTCTCAATATTTGCACAGAGTTTTCAAAATACAAAGGAATAATAAAATAAAACTAAAAAGTCAAAATAAGCAAATTTTATCACTAAATTTCTGAACAAATAACCACCCAAGGAACTCTAACAGAGAACAGCATGTGACATATATAAAATAGAATAAGAACTGGCAGAAGGATAAATAATTTTAATAGTATCTAAACTGCTTATGTAAATTAGATACAAACCTTAACTTATTAATGTACCTCGCTATTTAAATAAAACATGAAATCTTACTTTTACTTACAAGACACATACAACTCCTGTCCCACTTTGCTCCACATTTTTTAAATATCTCTCAGGTGGTGTAGTTTAGTTTTTACATCTCACAGATGTCTTCCTTGCTGCAAGCAGTTTATTAGGCTTTCAGTGTCCACTGTCAATTTTAAGAAAGGAAAAATGAAAATGGCTTGCAAGTTCAACATAATTAGTGGCTGAAAATTAATTTCATTTCAACAAGACTGAAGAGTTGTGTGAAATCATGTGAGTAGGTTCCATCTAGTGCAATCACAGGTACAAGGTTAAACTTTTTTAACTTTGCAACATTCAATTTTGACTGAAAAATCATCACATTAACATCTACTGTAACTGCAGCCTAGGATATTCTCTGCCATGTTGTGTGTAAAGAACACCTACATTCTCTGTAAATTTTGAATCTTTTCCAAACTCAAGCATTTGAAATATAAATTCTACACCTCTATTAAGAATTTCACTGGCTATTTTTTGGTGTGAAAACCTTGTGCCAGTACCAAAGAATGGGTGGGCATGATCAGTTTTAACAAAGCAAAACAATGTTTCTACATTAAAACTGACTCAATTTCTAATCAGATGATATTCAGTTTTAAGGTGCAGTGAAAGGCCAAAGATCTCTCCCATGAGTCTGAACTGTTCTTTGTTCAAGAAGTTTTACTCTTTACTATTTAAGTAGGCCTCCACAGCTATATATTGTTATACTTGAAAAAGAGTACAAAGTATTAATAAAACTAAATTTTTTATCATACATATTCTATTACCTCCTAATCCACTACATTAATTACAAATTTCAAATAAATTTCTCTATAACATAATTAACAAATCTTCATTCTACATAAAGTCAAAATTCAACATTTGTGAAATTATCTAAAAAATAAGTTCAATAATGCACAAAAGTTTAGTACCTGTAATATACCAACTGTCTGTTCAGAAAAGAGGAAGTGTTGATTCACATCTGAGGTCATCATTGATGATACCAATTTATCACATCTGTTTGTACTGCACCCACAACCTCCAACTTTCAACACTGAAAAACAACAAAACTGCTGAGAGTACAAATAGGTACGTTTGCACGTATGCACAGTGTATTCACTGACAAAGTCTAACACAGCTGTCACAATAGTTACAAAACATTTCCCAATAACAAAATGCACTAATGGACTGAACTGGATATACAATTACATTATTAACAGCTGCTTTCAATTGCATATAATCAGAGACAGTTACAATTTCACCGCACTCAAAAGAAAAAAAAATCAGCAAGTTCTGTTCCGTGACACAGCCTAAGAGTTTGTGTTTCAAATATTAATGGGCACCTTTCCAGTATTCCACACAAAGAGAGAAGCCATCCAGGTAAACACAATTTTGAGGAAAGTATATTTGTTTTTTTCTCAAAGCAACACTCCAAGGGGAATAGCATTAAATTTTGGAAAACGGAAGCATTCAAAACAGGTCAGTAAGCAAGAAGTTAAGTCTCATAAAAACGAAGTACCTGAACTTACATTCAAACCTTTAAAACATATAAATTTGTAATCATTTATCAGTTTCTTTTGTGTAGCAAATGTTTCTAAACATATGATTCGTTGTAAACTATATTCTTATCATTCCACCAACCCACATGGTGTGTGACAGCCCGAACAAGCAGCACATAATTATAACCTCTATCCTCAGTTAGAGGCTTCATCTCTAGCCCAGAAATTGGCTGGTATCAGAGTAGGGTAGTTTATTCCAATTTCAGTTTCGATCAACTTTAATTGCCCGCTACTGGATTCGTCATATCGAACATATATATACAAAATTCAATGTACAAAATAGTATATAGGCAATTTCTTCTGAAATTTTGTCCCAGTGCCTTGGTACAGACAAGACCATGATGTTCATGCTTCCATCTTAAAAATTAGCATAATCGACCAACAACCACCAAAACCATTAAGGTTAAAGTCCTACTTCAAACTACTTACTGTTTATAATACTATCCATTGTGTATATCTTACCAGGTGTGAACAGGAAAAGCAGAACATTCCCTTCTGTTTCAACTGCATGGATGAACCGTGGTTTGTATGATTTTTCGTATAGAAAGAATTCGAGCTCATCTGAGTAGGCCTTTCTTTCGGTATACTCGATCGCACTGATCGCACTCGATGAACGCGCTATCTGTAGCTCATGTATTGAGAAAACAGACAATGGCGACATGAATGTAGCGTGTGTTTGGAAACGAAAGTGGATAAATAAGTGTTGGTATTTGTTGCAGTTTCTAAAACAACTGGATTAGGCGTGACTTCTTAATAAATATATTGCAATGTACTTGATTCTTTATAAGTGTTAACATTGCCGAGTTATAGTTATTATTTACACTACATAAATCTCAGTACTTCAGTGGTCCAGAACCGAAAAAGTTGACAAATGAAACCGACTCGATCAAAGTATTGGGATTAAAATGCTGAAGTAAGTTCAGAGGGAGTACGGAATAAGTGTTACGTTAATCTGTAACCGTACTGTGGAGCCGTTAAAGTTTGATTATGTGTCTCCAAGGGTGTAATAAATTGTAAGGTTAGGTCAAAGTTTGCGATAGGTAAATGGTATATTCACTGAGCAATCTTAAGATTAGAGCAGCTTTAATGTTATGAAGTTTATATTTTAGTTATCATTGCCTTGGAACCTTTATTTCAGAAGAATTCCAGAGACTTTTGACTTGAGGATAAACAGAGGAGGTTAATGAATAACGAAGGGATGGTAAAGTGAAAGGACATGAGCCATAACATTGGAGGGATGGCGCCCTTTGTCAGGTATGAATAGGTGTGAAGATGAAGTAATTTATGATTGGTTTGATAGCTGCCTTTCTGTTCAGTGTGAGATTAAAGCATGTCACAACTATTGATGAATATGTTGTTTCTCATTACGTGTTATGCCGCAGGCGTGAAATGTAAACAAGAAACTCTCATGCCATCCTACTGTATTCATTATTATTCCTTTCCTTTTTTTATTTTGAGCATTGGTTAATTACTTTCCATGCAGCATGCCAAGGGGGAGGAACCACATGTACTTCCAAAGTCCTGGAGGGGATACACAACATATGCAGCGAGGCCCTTGTTTTCATGATGAGCGGAATGAAAAACATCTGGGAAACTCATGCGGGTAATCATACAATACTTGGTGTTAGACTTTAACCAATATCAGCAACTGAAGAAGAAATGAGCTTCTTATTTTAAATTATGTTAATTGTTTTAACAGAATGCCACTGGCAGGCCTGGGGGAATTCAAACCTCCTGCAGGTGCAGTCCCTGATCCACCCCCTGCGAAGAAGAAGCGGCGGACCTCCAATGCAGCTACAGTACCCGCTCAGCCAACATCAGCATTGCAGGACCTTCTTCCACCACCACCACTTACAGGTAATCTTTCATTTTAACATGTGTATGAATTTACAGTTGATTTAATTTATAAATGTAAGGCAAGAATAAGAGGAATCTTTGTTACGTATATTTTGAATCCGTACCAGGACTAATAATTTATTGTGAATTATGAGTTTTATATAGATATATATTATTATTGCAGGTATGGATGAGTTAGTCTCTTGTCACCATGGCACAGTACCTTCTCACTTTTCAGATGGATTTTCTTTTTGTTATTTAATATCTGCTGCTGAGGTTATAATTGATAAATAGTGGAATGATAATGAATAGCAGTGATGTACCAGTAACTTGGATTTTACAATGTGATTCAGATGCAGACCAACATCAGAGTTGTGAATGGAAGTCAATGTTCACTCAGACTCATAAAGATGTGCATGTTAAACTCAAAAGTGAAGATAAATTCTTCAATAAATTGTTTATTTGCAATTTGTTCCTGAAGGCCACATTGTTAACCAGATGATGTGTCTGTTAAAAACAGTTCACAAGAAACAGTAAAAACACTGGACTTTTTCACAGATAATGCTGTGGCACACACAAGTGCATAAGGGAATTTTAACCGAGCTTCACAGGACTTGATTATATTGTCCTGACTTTACTCCTGACGATTTCTTTCTGTTTCCTAAACCCGAGAACTGGTTCATAGGGTGTATATTGCATGTTTAATTCACCACAGCTGTAGGATATGTTATCATGATTTTCTCTATCTGCTGTAAAAACACTTTCATCAGTTTTGTTGATGTAAAAGGTTATCAAGATACTGTGTATCCGGTATTCCCTTAATGTATATTCTTTAGTCAATTCAATACACTTGCTTCCTCAGCAATAGATCTGTCCTTGTCTTGTATTATATTACTGTGTTCATCATCATTTGTATGTACTGTCCACTCTTGTGCTCTTTTCAGTCTCATGGCTGGTCTAATGATGGGGCATACATAAATGTCCCCATAAAGGTAATACACTACTTCTGTTAGGTTGGCGCATATAAATGTGTTGTTCCATTTCCTAGCACTGGCGTCTTCTCAGTTTGAATCAGATGTGCCACTTTTTTGTTTCCCATTTTTTTTACTGTATGATGATGTCACAGAATTATCTTCAAAGTCTTGGATATTGATTGCACTGTGATGCTGCTTGTGTGGACAGAAGCCATGACCACATAAAAGAACAAAGATGCTTAGAGCCCATTACGATGTTATATGTAACTAGTAACTTTATAAATCAAGTGTAACTTCAAACTGAAATACTTTGTTAGTATACAGTATTAAGACGCTCATTAAGATTTGTTTCCGATATTGAGCCCAGCACAGCAATATATATGCCTTCACTTCCTGGATTGTTAAGATTGACAGAGGATTAAATATATCAATAAAAATGCATGTGCAAAAAGTTATTCTATCCATAAAAGTTAACCCTTATCTGCAGATGGGTAGTCAACTACAGTACTACATATTATATTCCTAATTATGCATACTCATAATATTTTATATAAATACAAGGCTTATGGATGACTTGTCAGTGTATTCCAGCTTCACAGTTGTTACATGAATGCTCATCATTCTTCTGATACATATTGAAACCTGGTAGAAACTTAAAATGTTGAGTGTTATTTTAGTAATATAATGACGCTAAAATGTTATTTTGATTCATTTCAAACAGGATATGGAGATACAATCGTTGCATCAAACCCTTTTGATGATACACCTCCTCAGCTTCCCCCCTCAATGGGCATGGGTCATGGGCATCATGTCCACATGAATCATCACCACCATCACCATCACCACCATATGGGTGGCCCTCCTATGGGTGGTATGAGCCCTCTGAACAACATGGGTGGTCCTCCTATGTCAAGCATGGGTGGACCTCCAATGAGTAGTATGGGAAATCATCCCATGGGTGGCCCGTCTATGAACAGTGGTCCAATGGGCGGTCCGCCAATGAACAGTGGTCCTCCTATGGGCAGCCCTATGAACAGTTGCCCACCAATGGGGAGTCCAATGAACAGTGGACCTATGAGTGGCCCTATGAATTCAGGTGGTCCTATGGGCAGCCCTATGAATAGTATGGGAGGCCCTATGATGAACAGTGGCCCTATGGGCAGTCCAATGGGCCCCTTGGGGAGCCCAATGAACAATATGGGTGGTGGTCCTATGAACAGTGGTCATATAAATAATGGGCCAATGGGTGGCCCCATGAACAGTGGACACATGAGTGGTCCTATGGGTGGGCCACCAATGAACAGTATGGGAGGCCCCATAAGTGGTCCACCCATGAACAGCAGTCCCATGGGTGGTCCACCTCTAAATAATGGTCCTATGGGTGGCCCATCAATGAATAATGGTCCTATGGGAGGCCCTGCAATGAACAGTATGTGTGGGCCCTCAATGGGGGGTCCACCAATGAACAGTGGTCACATGGGAGGGGGAATGAATATGGGACAGATGAATAATATGGGCACCATGAGTCCAATGAATCACCATCACCATTCACCTCACCAGCATCCAATGGGCAATATGGGCCCAGTGGGTGGTATGGGAGGCAACATGGCACCAGGAATGCATCACATGGGCATGCATGGCCCTCCACATGGTCCTCCTCATGGCTTCCCTGGTCCAGGAATAGGACCCAAACCCATGCCAGTTTCTGCAGGCAAGGTAAAATAAGACATGTGTTTAATCACAATGAAAATGAAGAGATATTTCACATATAGAAACTGATGATTAAAATTTTCAATTTCAGGTGTATCCACCGGATCAGCCAATGGTATTCAACCCGCAAAATCCCAATGCACCTCCCATCTACCCTTGTGGTACCTGCCATAAGGAAGTTCATGACAATGACCAGGCCATTCTCTGCGAGTCAGGCTGTAATTTCTGGTTCCATCGGTAAGATCAGTGAACTCTATTAGCGTTACAAAAAATGTGATAATTCTATTCATCAGCACTCATGGTTATAAATTAGTAACTTTTTGAGTAAGAACCAAGGTGTACCAGCTTTGAATAATCTGAAATGCTGCTGTTTTATACATGAGTGTGTAACAATCATCTTTCAATTAGTTAATTCATATTAGAACAAAACATCTTTGCACTATATTTTAACATTCTGCAACTGTTAATGTATTGAACAGAGCTGTGAATACATGATAGCTGGTGGTCCTGAGAGGATGTAACTCGAAAAGTTACATGTTTTCTTTTTCATTATTTCAAGTCCCTCTCACAATCTGCCAAAGTACTTGATATTATACAACTAAAAGACTTGTTTATTTCAGAGTATGCACTGGTTTGACAGAAGCAGCTTATCAATTGCTCACAGCGGAAGTGTACGCGGAGTGGGTGTGTGACAAGTGTTTATCTTCCAAAAACATACCATTAGTGAAATTCAAGCCATAATAAACATTTGCTCCTTATCATCCCCCTCCCCACCTTCCCCCGTTCCATTCATGGACAAAATACGTACCGATCTATTGTCAAGTCAATCTCCTGCCTGCTGCGTTGCCGAAAGAGTGAGAGAGATTCGGCACTGAAGAATGTGTGTGAGCGTTTGTGTGTGCGTGTGTTTTTGCTGCTTGCATGAGAGAATGGGTGGTTCAAATAATTTACAGTGTGTGAAAAATGTTTGTAATCTATGCATACTTCCTTCTTGGAAATCTTACTTTATGAATTATATTTTTTATCTTCTGTTCTTAATACTTAACCTACTGTACTTTTGATGAGTGTTGATTTTATTTTTAGGTATTAGGCAGCTAACCTTGTTTAATAAGTGACAACACAATCAATTTGGTGACTACATACTATATAATAATTGTGTTCATATTACTTATTAATTTACAAAATTAAGACAGTTTTTGTGACTTGTCTTTTTGAGATATTATATCGTATTTTGAGATAATTTTTGTACATACGATAAAACTATTGTGTGGTCGGGTTTTTGTCATGTAAGTTTTTTTTTTCCCCTGTAAAATAATCTTGTATGAAAGTACCTACATTGCATGATCACATGGTCACAGAGGAGCTTTTTTTAAAGTAACTTCCTTTTTTAAGTTCTTAATCTTCATCATAATTAAAATAAATTTCAATTTAAAGAGGTCTTGTAAAAATCTTCACAAATCAACTTTTACTGAGTATGCTAACTACTAAAGGAAAAATGTGCATAGTTTATTTTTTATCATGTGAATAAATATATTAGCAATAAAATTTGTTATACATTATAATATTTGTTGATTTCATTTTGTTACTGAAATTTGTTTTTCAGCTCGAAGTTCTATTGGAGTCATTAAATAATAATGATGATTTCTTAAAATTATGTACACAATAAAAATGCCTAAATTCAACATTTATATCAATACTCTTGTTGCTGGGGTTGTAGTTATGTAATCGTACACACAAAGTGAAACCTTGTTAGTATATTCTACAGTGCATTGCTATGAACATGTGACAATGAAATATTATAATTTTTGTTGGCTGTTTTTCGCAAGTGAAGCTAAACTATTCACAATTTCTTTTCAGTAGTATCTTTATAAGTGCAAATTTTTTTTACCATGATTATAATTCTAAAACAATTCTATAGTTGAAATTACAACTTCTTGCTGAAAGACATTTTATATAATTTATGTAACACTATGTTGAACACAAATCCAAGACAGACCACACTGATAATTATCAACAATCCAATTAAAATTTTGATTCAGCTTGGACTCTCTTCTTCAGCCATCTAAATAAAATGTACACGGCCAGTCTGGGCTGCTAAACAATATTCAGAATGATTAAGAGAATAACTGTAAAAGATGGTGGAAAGAGGTATAAATTTTGAACATTCCAAATGAAGGTATTCACATATTAATGAATGAGACATATCCTATTACAATGCACTGAGAATAATACTAAAGAAGTTTCTCTATTCTTAAATTTACTAGTACTTATTTTAAGAATCAACCCACTATATTATTTTATCCATTTCTATTATAAATACAATGTGTAAGTATTCAACATCCACTAACAATGATTCCTGGGATAAGAGCAATATAATTTATTAAATAGGTCACACAACCAATGTTATGACTCCATCCAGTAAAGACTTACAAAATTAAAAATTTTAAATTGCACTGCACAGAATATTGCACTGAACTGCAACAGAAGCAGCACTACATTAATTGAATGATATAGCAAAAATAACAGCCATGGTATTTCATTATCTGCCTAACTATAAATATAGAATACTGATATAAATATAGCTTGGAGATTATCCAGTCTCTTTTCCCTGTTTTAATTTTTATTACTTATACATTTCATTGAAGGTTTATAAAACAATATTATTCCTCCCTCCTACCCTTCTAATTATGTGAGACTTAACTGATCAGTTTTATTTCATCCTTCATATTTTATGATATGGATACTTGACAACCCGTTCTTCAAGTGCCTGAGCACTGCGGGTCCCAACTTTTCGTTGGCTTTATCTATAGACAATCGGTAGGACTCCTTGGACGAGGGATCGGCCCGTCGCAAGGTCTCTACCTGTACACAGGACAGCACAACACAGAAAAAAGCGGACAGACATCCATGGCTTGAGTGGGATTTGAACCCACGGTCCCAGCGACCAAGCGGCAGAAGGCCCATGCCTCAGACCGCGTGGCCACTGCGGACCCCTAAGAAAATTACCACAGAGATACTTATGTTTTTTTCAGAAATTCTTTTTTTTTTGAACAGCGATATGGTAGAACTTAACTTTGTTCTGTGTTCATGAAGCAATGTCTTTCTTTGGAATTGGGTGTGGTATGGAATACAAGGTAAAAAAGAATAACTTGTAAGTCATAACTTTGATAACTTCCTGTACCTTTCATCCTCGATAACTTTTGATTAAAACAAATTCTATTTTGTGACAACCTGTCCTATAGCACTGCAAGCTGCCTTCACAAACATATTTTTTAATCATATACTGCAGTCCAGCCCTCTGGTTTTATACACTATAAATGAAAAGACTGAAAATATAAGTTATGTTACAATCCCACAATAATTCCACATTTTCCAAGGTGAAATATTCAATTTATACCCTACAGGATAAGGCAGTTAAACAGTGACTGAGGATTCTAATTATATTCTAAATAGAAATGGAAAAATATTTATTTTGAGATGACAGCAGAATGTTCATAATTTCCAAAATGTCTGTGAAAACAGTATCATGGCAACAATTACGGGAAGGAGACTGGGAAAGTCAGGCTATTTTAATTATCTGTTACCAGTCTTGTCTTCTCCTAATTCCAATTTAGATATAACTTTCAGGTACTAAATAAATTACTAGAATAGCTGTTGGTGCATAACTGTATTATGGAAAGGCACAGTACAAGTACATAGCTATCTCGAATCAAACCACTGCTATTGCAAGAAATGGTTCAAACCACAATTCAGCTCCAACTCTCATTCTCAACATGGCACTGTTGTTCCCTCTTCTCCAGTTCTTTGAGTTTGTATGTGTTCGTAATAGAACGTGCCACATGAGTTTTGGTAAATCGAATATCTTTCTCTAGCCACGTGTCACGAATGTGTGGGCGCATAAATATTGGAGCATTGCTGCATGTAATGCTCAGACCTGTTGAAAATATATCTGGTTATGAGGTGTTTTTCACCTTCTGGAGTACAGAACACTTTTAAGGGTCCATCCATGTCTGTCACATTTTTCTAAAGAGGCAGGCAAAAGGCATGACTGGGCATCATTGTTACACCACAACGGCTTACGTGTGGTGTGAAGAACACCTTGGAATGCTGTGTACTCCAAAGAGTATCCTCTTTGTTATAGAACTTGTAGTATTTAAAAATGCTACAAGTTCTAATACTGTGTTAAGGTAAGTTGGTCAATTTGTCTTTATGCTAAAGCACTTTGCCATGAAGGAATTCAGTCACTGAGCACATAGACAGTCACACTATTGACCGATATCCCAGCTAAAGCTTGATAGTATATGCCAGGGATAAAGTACTTCTGAAATTGGGACTTGTATACCGACTATAATCCCTGAGCACTGCTTTCCAAATGTGAGGCTTCAAATTGAAGGGGGGGAAAGGAATTTTAATTTGTTCAGTATTTACACTGCCAAGAGAATTAAATCTTGTAAAAACATCAAGGGTGGCTATCAAGATAAAGCAATTTCATATGTAATGTCCAAATACATAAATATACCAATCAGGCTGAAAGAACAATATTAACATATTTCATGGAGTAACATTCTTTGCAGTCTGGCACTTTGCCCTGAAGATACAGATTGAAATGTCCTGCAACAACATGGAGCCATCACCCTCAAGACTGTACAAACTACTTTAAAGCCATCAATACTAAGAATGTTCATACAGCCGAAGCGCTGGCACAGTTTTGACTACTGAAGGAACCAAACAGAACTTTGATAAGCGTGTGGTTGGTGTCCTACCTATGCAGCACCCAGAAGACTAAGTATGCAACCATGGTTAGAGAAAAACTAAACTACAAACATCTCTGATACTTACCTCCTAACGGTTGAAGTTGGCTGGAAGAATTTATGTGCTGCATTCTGTCTGTGGAAGTTGGTGCAACAGCTCCTTCATTATTAACAGGTCCTGAAATAATAATTAATGGACAGAACTTCAGTATCCGCATGCTGAAATGTTTCTATGAATCTAATTTTCCATTCACAGTGTACATACAAAAAATATCTCACATGTTACTGTACAAAATTTATACCATATTGTTGTTCTTTTGGGTTGTAACCAAGTAGATACCACCATTTCAGAAAAATAACCGTCTCCATTTTCAGGGCTGAAAGGAGGATGTTGGGAAGCGTCAGAAGGGTTCGGCAAGGAGAAATTGGTCAAACAGGGTTGAGGAATGAGGAGATGGCCTGGGACAATATAAAGTCTTCATGCAGGTTGGGGCTACCTGAGGGTAGATTCAAGGTGAAATTCAGAGCCAGGACAAGGTACATTGTTTAGTAGAGGAATTCAAGAACCTAAGCCAGGTGAGGCTGGACTATGAATGACAGAGAAGGGTAGTCAAGGGAACGAAGGATGGTATAGTGGGTGCAGTAGTTTTTAGCGAGTGGAGAAGCTGGCAGATGGACCTACTCTGTGTACTTAAGGTGTAAAGGTCAGTGTATTTGTTTTGTTTGGGCATTCAGTCTGATAAGCTGCTCGTCCTTCCTGGAGCCAGACTAAACATACTATCGTACAAGTGACTCACTCCCAGCCTTCCCCTTGAATATTCCACTAGCCAAAAATTACTGCGACCACTATACGTGGACAGTGAATGGGACGACCAGGGGCACAGATGAATGGGTGGGCACTAAAAGGAAGAATAGTAAGAGGAGGGTAATGAATGCTAAGAATGGAGCCAACCTCCTCTTACACACCATCTAATGCATCAAGCTTTACCTCAATTTCCAAAACAATCCTTCATGGAAAGATACTGATGTAGAAGAGCAATTTTGCAGTTTACTGCTCCTAACCAACCAACACTACTAACATCAAAGCCCTCCCTTGAAACTTATCATGAGCCACTTCCATCCAATATTTCTGAGGTAAATTAATTGTTTACTTGTCTTCATAAAATAAAAAAGTAAGCTCATAATTATAGAAACAATGAAGCAATTACAACAACACAGATCACATTTGATTTTTCAAAACATTTCATCAAACTTTCATGTAGGTAAAGATCCAAAACGGAATACATGCTATGTTCTTTACCAAAATTCATGCATATCTCAGGTTCTAACAAAGTGTAAATTCTGAAATCTTACTTACGAGGAATTGAATTAATGTAGAAACTGTTCCCACTGAGCCAAGGTGGAAAATGAGGCTGAAACATAAACAATGCATCTGTTATGTTTTTATCATATTTACATTAGACGAGCAGCATTAAAGAAGTGTCAAAATTTCACCAACTTTGCAAGTACCACTCAAGTACTAAGTTTTATGAAAATCAGCCAGTTGGAGGGGAGACAACACTTGATCCTGTAAACCATCCTTGAAAAATAAGCGAACAATGTGGACCAATTAAAATCTAACTACTTTTCACTGCCAAACAAAACATACGTCATCCACAAGCAAGAAGCTACAAGTCATATAAGAAAATTTACACATTACAAAAATAATTAATTTGCTTAAATATCATAAACATTTATTGCTGACCTTGCTTGCAACAAAACCCTTTTATTACAGAAGTAAAATTTCTGGTCTGTTGAAATTTCACTCTATATCATGCTTAAAATTTATGGCAGTCAGAAATGTTAAACACATCAGAAAGGTTTATGCTATGTGTTACTGAATGTTGTCATTTTAATTTTATGAGCTGCATACCTTGCCAAATTTAGGAAACATGGATGGAAGTTTATTACTGTCTTTATCTTCAGATTTTAAAATCTTGGGCAACTTTCCACAAATATTAAACTTCTCATCAAACAATCTTAGATTGCCATTCCTCTTCATTGCACGGATAATCTGCACACACACACATACAATTTACATTAAGTCTGCATATGTACTGTATATGGATTAATTTTATCAGTTCAAATTAATGTATCAAGTCTATCAACAACTATCCGAGATTTAAGAATCTCGTAGCAGTGAACATGTCGATCATAGCCTTCTGGGTTGTGATGTCATGTAGTCTTGTAAGTGGTTACCACCATTACGGAGCAATGTACTGCCTGCATCCTTATCTACAAGACCACACAGTATCTCAAGTGAGAAGACCACATTCAAATGTCAACAACTACTTTATAAGGCAACACGAAAATTTCGTAAAATATTACAATGCTTTAAGAGCACCTTAAAAAAGACAGCTGTTTTCTACTCAGACCAAAAATAAAACTGGTAGAGAGAAATAGAGTTAATTCTAGCAACCTGCATATGACGCCAATTTTAAATTCCAGCTCATCAAGTATGTGTAAGATACCAACTACTGATTGTCATTCCACAATATACAACATTCCTAAGCCCAATATCCAGCGATGACAAAGATCAAAGTATAACTATGTGCCAGTTTTAGTAAATAAGTATTCTGAACACCTAAATGGGCCATTTAAAATAAATGATAGAAAGGTAATGTTTATGCCAGGCTAATAATAACTGCACCTACGCCATTTATCTGTAACAGTAATTCACCTATTTTCCTTAACACTTTCCACTGTTTGGTAGGATCACTCCTGGTATATAGTTCTATAAATAGTGTACTTGGATGAAGAAGAAATTGCAGCACTGTCATATTAAAATGGAGTATCTAAATATCTGCATACCAAATACAAAATTTAAGCCTGTATGTTTTTGCTCTTAATTACAGAACTAACCACATATACATATAACAATGCATGTTTAATTTAAGTTAAAAGAACATAGGATGCTGTTTCAAGCTTCTTCCTACAGCATAAATCTGACCACTAACATGCATACAGTGCTGAGGTTAAGAATGCTTGGAGCTTTATCTTCAATACCACCACAAGCCTTCAAACCATGGTGCTAAGTAGCAGGAACAACTTTATTTATACCTTTGCCTTAGAAAACTCACTTCAGTATGTGAAGCTCATTACAAACTTCCTTCTACTGACATTCACTTCCACACCCCCCGCTTTAATGCTTAGGTTGTCGCAAATTTCATCTTTAAGTCTTACTACTTGTCTGACACAAAAATATTTTGATCATGTTGGACTTTGTCTAAATGCATATGCTAAGGAAAAAGATTGTATTGTGGGTAATTCCAAGAAGGTGGGTGTATTATTTGTATGACTAACATGCTGTAAGACTGTTCTGTTCTCATACAGATTAAGTTATTAAACAATATTTTGCTCCTCAATGGTTACTGTTCCTGTTAACGCACTTATACAATCTTGCAGTGTAACAAGGTATACTGCATTACATCCTTCCTAGTTACCTGTTCTGTGATCTTAAAGCTTTTCATTAGGAAGTCTCTCTGTGCCATTGCTATTCTTCTTGACATTTCTTCAGACTCTATAATTGGAGATGGTTCAAATGAATTAAGAAAAGACTGCTTCTTTTCTGCAACATGTTTATTTTTCTGGAAAAAAAATGGACTCACAATTACTACTTAATTAAGACTGAAATTATGAAATTGAGAGCAGAATAAACTGCATGCTGCTACTAAATTCAATTCTTTATCTCCGTAGAATCTGACGTTTTCATGGCCATGAATAAGAAGATGGCTGAAGATTTCTGTCTTCTGGGTTCTTGCGCTGTGTAGTCTGGTCGATGTTAACCAATGCTTCAGAGGTCATACTCCCTCCGGCATCAGGGCGATGAGTATGAAGATTTCTGTCTTCTGGGTTGTTGCGCCATGTAGTCTGGTTGTTGCATCGACCAGAAGACAGAAATCTTCATACTCACCGCTGTGAAAACCTCAAATATTACAAGAAGATGGCTGTCTTGGTTGTAGCACCATGTAGTTTGGTACAAGTTTCACTCATGATGATGGAGGATGTAAGGACCTCTAAAACAATGGTCAACTTCTACCAGACTACACGACACTACAACCCAGAAGACAGCCATCTTAATTCTTTATTTTCTGTTTTTCTTCTATAGCCTACATTCTACATTGCATGACTCAAAAATTAAATTTTATACAAAGGTAATCAAAGTACTGAAAATTGAGCAGTTTGTTACAATAGATTATCTTTGTATAAGAAAGGATCTTGCAGTTTAAATGGCAATAATCCCAAAAAATAACAGAAGTTTGTATGAAGCAGAATTTTATAAATGCAGAAAATATGAGTACCATAAAAATTTGATGCATGTCATAGCCACTTAAAGGTACCAATTAGCCAAACTGAGGCTGCAGCAATGATGTGACAAATATCCTACCACAAGTGTTAAAACTGCTGGAACCTCACTAACACTCTGGAAATGATGTGGTCCTTATTAAAATTTACTCCTATAACTGACATCAAAATTTTCTCATATCCTCTAAAAAACAATAGAACTTACCAGTAGCATGTGCCTTTTCTGCAATGCTGTAACAGGCTTCTTTTCTCTCTTTAATGGAGATTCAGGTTGCAACTTTCCAAAATCTTTGTTTTTCCATGCAGTTTTACATGAGGCCGCATTTGCTTTTGCCTACAATGACAATCATGTTATCATACAACATTAATGAACCACCAGCCGTTCCTCCTTGAATTGCTCAATAACATACGTATGACGTAGGTTCTACAGAGATCCTACATTGGTCATGTATGAGTCTGATAGAGTAAAACCTTGTTAATTCAGTGTCAAATAATTAACAATTTTGATATTATGGTCAATGAGGGGTAAGGGTTAATAACTATATAGAAACAAATTAAAAACATGATAAAGAAAATATTGAAGAACTGTGGATGAGCATAAAATTCTCATTAAAAACACTCCATCTTCCATTTATTTAAAAAAATACAAATTGGAATCTTTTGCATAACAATTTTTCACTCTAACATACACAAGACTACTAAATTTACAGGCTTTATCACATTCAATATAGAATGTGAAGATATATATATATATATATATACACACACACTTTTCCAGTGTGGTGTCAGTTCTATAGAAGGAAATACAAAATACAGAATAAATACCTCCAATTCCTCTCTCTGTATACGGGCACACTCTTCTCTTGCTCTGGACGCAGCTGTGTCCTGAAATAATGAACTCTGGTTCTGGTGAAAGTAGCACTCATATCTTTCAAAGCCAAGGTAGGGATAGATACAGCGGAAGTTCCCCAAGTGAGACTCCTCCCATGCAACTTGAATCTTCCAATGATCTTGAGGACTTGATCCAGAGTTCACATTATTTCCATGCTCACTAAGGACATAGAATAATCAATACCTTATTCAACAATGCTATTGAGTGGATGAAATTTTGAAGACGATGTGCCTCTGGGGACTCCCTTAAAACTTGTCCTTCACAATTTCCTACAATCAGTAATACCAACATGGTGGACGAACAAACTTGTGAGGTGGAAGTGACACTAGCACCATTTGTATTAGGGCCATCCAATGATGTATGGTTATAGATTTCTAATAACTTTTATATATTAATTCTATGTATGATATAAAATAACAGCATGGCAGCTACACGAAAAAAAATTATATTGACCAGGATCCAATCACATGATCCCATCCCTGTGAGACCAGTACGCAGCCACAGAGCTAATGCAACTTGTGCTATATCAGTATTGATTTATAGTACTTAAGAAACAAACACCACTAATTTGTACAGTTGGAAACTGGAGTTGTGTAAGTAACATAACTGACGATCTTTTATTAGTAATTTGGGATTTAAAAAAAATACATGTGTATTCCAGTATGTATTACACATTTCCAGTCTTGTTCCAAGTATGCTATATATGTAAAACGTGATTAAGGAAAATATTTTTGTTACAATCATATTTTTACTACTCAGGCACTGTTTTGGGTTTAGGTACTTAAGAAAATTATTATCATTACTACTACTTTTATTTGGAGTTTACACAGTTGTAGCTACAGCGGGGTCCGCAGTGGCCGCGCGGTCTGAGGCGTGGGCCTTGTGTCGCTTGGTCGCTGGGACCGTGGGTTCGAATCCCACTCAAGCCATGGATGTTTGTCCGCGTTCTGTGTTGTGTACAGGTAGGGGCCTTGCGACGGACCAATTGCTTGTCCGAGGAGTCCTACCGAATGTCTATAGATCGAGCCAATGAAAAGTTGGGACCCACAGTGCTCAGACACTTGAAGAACAGGTCGTTCCCAGTATCCAGTAACTACAGCACTCAACTATGGTACATTTAAACAAGTGAGTTTTGATGTCAATTAAGTAATCACAAAGGTAAACTGTGAAAGGAGATATGATAAAATCTTATATAAATTTTTTTAAAATAATGTAACCTCAAAGTGAAAAACCAACACAATAAACAGACACTTAATTGGCAAACTATATGTGAACATGTTTTCCAAGACAAACTATACTATTTACGAAGATTTCTGTCTTCTGGGTTGTTGCACTTCATACTCACCGCTGTGAAAACCTCAAATCAATTTACATTCTCTGACACAGAAATATGTCTATTAGTACAAAACATAATTTACATGTTATACCCACATTATCAGAATCACTTAACTTTTTGTTAAGTGGGTGTCTGCACTTTTGGAAACCTGTAAATGCAATGATAACATTCCTTCACCTTTCCTTGTGATTAATGCCATGTAGCAGTCTCTCATGCACTCTTTTACGGTCCTCTTCTATCACTTTCTTCTTGTCAGCTTGTGCAAGGTTCAGGATAATAAACGTATCTTGAAGAAGACTCTCTTTTATATCATGATCAATTTGAGCATCTGTATGGAAGCTTGGAGAATGATTCACCTGGAACGATTTACCTGATGCTGAAAAAGTGTCTGAATATGGGTCTTGTGAAAGGTCACAGTCAGACTCATTGATTTATTTTCAGGCAGTACCAGATTTTTGGTTATTTAAATAACGTTTTTCAGCTTGCAGCCCCTTTTTAAAAAAGTACATACAAAGTTAACAAGCTTTGCTATATCTAAAATTAATTAAATTAAGGAGTGTCTCACTATTTAATATACATCATCTTGAGACAATAATGTAACGTATTCCAAAACCTACTTCCATCTAATTCTGAGTACTTTACTTACAGTAGGGTATGTCAGTTTTACAATATTCCAATAAGAACTTACATACATTTCAGTTTTTGAAAGATGGTTACTCTCCCAGATTTATTATATTGGTACAAATAAGTTCAACATCTGAACCTCATCTCAGGTGAAAGCATTCATACTTCATAGAACAACAATACAAGCGGCTAACTTACCAATAATTTTATACAACACATATATTTTGTCATAAAATTCCTACAAAGTTTTTTATTTTATTTTATGGTGAAACCCTTGGGTATATGATGATGTTCTGGATTTTGGTGCCTTGCAGACTTGTTGCTAGATGTTAACATTTCACGGAAATCACATTCCATGTTCAGGGGTGATGGAGATTGCGTGTTTTTCGGAAACACCGACATCTACTGACAAGTGTATAATGGCACTAACACCCAGAACATCACCTTCCTCACTGCCATGAAAACCTCATGTGATGGTTTATAAAACTGATGTCATGTCTATTTGGTACTTTGCATAAAGTAAAGTAAAAAACTTGGTCAAGTACTATATGTGTTTAATTGGCAACAGAAATAGCTTATTTTCACATGCAAAAACTAATAGGAATTTGTTCCCAATTTTACACTGAAAGGTGAAGGTCCATAAATTACAAAATGGCATAATTACAAACTCTGATGTACAGTACCTCTAATATATATGGTTTAAGTTTGTAGTCTAGAAGGATGTCAAATCCTAGGAGTTCAAAGCATGCATATGTGAAGTCATGTGCTGGGAAGCATGCATGGTAATTATGTTTCAGCGTGGGATGAGCAGCAATTACAGTCTTCACTATCACATCATCAATATTTGACCACATCTCATGGACATTATAATCCTTCTTCAACAACCAATTATTGAGTGTTGATATTTTCCTAGCACACAGAAATAAAAAAACATATTTAAATTATATCATTCTACAAACTTTAGACAATCATTATTTTCTTTACATAATATACAGCATAACATAATTGATTCAAAGCTTTAGGAGCGAAAATAAAATTAATATACAGTGTGAGGTTTCTTCCCTACATCATCTGAAGTAGAAAAAATGAATTTTGAAATTTCAAATAAAAAATAAAATGTAAGACATAATATTTAGAAAGTTGTGAGATACATAGTATTATTATATTGTTGCTGCAATCTACTTGGTGTTGCTACCAAATGGCAGACTTTAAACGAGCGCATATCTTATATTTTTGTAATTTATTAAATTTTTTAACACCTCCACTACTTAACTTCCTATGTACTTGAAGCTCTCCTAGTCTTCCTACTGATCATACTATTCTACAAAATTCTTTTTAACAAAAGAAAAAAGGTAACATTGCTTTCTTTTCATGCTCTATGGAAACAAAGGTTTTGGGGTGCATCACAGGTGACAACTGCATGAATAAAACTAAAAATTATAAATCAAAATTTTGGTAACCACTTACAGTTCACAACTCAGATTACCACTGTCAACATTTTTACCTACGTGAGATATTTAAATCTAACTTTAATTCCTCAATTTTAAGACAACTTCTCACTTTAACAAAATATATTTTAATTTTTTACACTGATGCCTTCTTTATAAAGGAATCTATGATACTTTTATAATAGTACCATGAAAGCAATATCAACCATTTTTAGTAAGACATTCCTTGCTACATTAAATTAAAATCACCATACAGAAAATCAATTTATTTGTTCGACGTTTATGAATTTGTATTCCATCCCAAAATATGGAGAAAGTAATTATATACTTTTGTTATTTAGTGTATGAACAGTGTTAAAGACAAACCTCCTACTATATATGTAAATGCAAAAGCAAATAATTTCGAAAGTAATTATATACTTTTGTTATTTTGAGTATGAACAGTGTTAAAAACAAACCTCCAACTTTATATGTAAATGCAAAAGCAAATAATTTTCAACAAATTTCTGAAACCTTTGACAAGTGCAACAAAAGCATACCTTTTACTGCCAGCTTTATCATCCACGACGTAAGTGTGGCTGTATTTGTTGACAGCATAATTGGTAAGATGCATGAATACATTGCTAGTGTTGGTATCAGATGGTTCTTGGTATCGGCTCGTGGCAAACCTTGCAGCAAAGACAGAAACCCAACTCACTCAGATACAACCATTCATTAAGAAAGAATAATTACTGTTACAGATTTGATGTCATATTATGCTGGTTTATGGAACTTCCAGGTATTCTGCTACCGGAAAATTTCCCGTGCCAACCATTTTTAGCAGTACGTCACCATTTTGGAGTATTACATGGTACAGAAAATAACACCAAATGATCCCTGCATGTGCAACGATTTGCTAAAGGTAGGTGCATGCACCATCTAACAACAAAGGATAAAACTATGCGCCCTTTACCTCACAAGTCCTTCATTGTAAACATAGATTCTTAAGGGATCACACGACGTTATTAAGACATACAGTCTCAAATCAAACTTGAAACCATCCACAAGAAATGGCTGAAAATAAATAAAACACATTTACAACTGTAAATTTCAAATTTAAATATGTAAATATCTAATACATTTCATGTATGGCAAAAGCTGAACTTACTTTTGAAATATAAACTTGGCAAACTAATTTATCCTGTGGTTTAATTTCTTTTACGTGTTTTGTGACATAAATGCCTCTCCCTTGACTCCCGGTTTCTGGTTTACAGATATATGTTCGGTTTCTTTTACTTTGTGCATGTGCTACCAATTCTCTGTAACTGTAAGGAAGCAAAAATACAACAAATATACCACACTTTCTGGTTAGAAAGATTAGACAAGAAAAACACTTCTAGAACATGTATTACTCCTTAATTGCATGCGAAGTATTTTTTTCATAAATAAGCAGATTTTATTTAGAACATTAATTTAAAATCTTTCTGCTTTTCATAAATAAACAGATTTTCTTTAGAACATTAATTTAAAATCTTTCTGTGATAGCAACTCACTGACATAGACAAGACTTTTAGTGTACATTCACAGTGTTCACACTAATAAGGGTTACATGTTACAAAAGACAACAGTTGTGTGATCGGTATACTAATAAGCAACACAATGAAATTTGACTTATTTTCAGATGCTGAAAATTATTATTGTTATTATTATTTATACACATAAACAAATTCTATAAAGCCCATATAAATTAGGCCCATACACTGAAGCTTTCTGAAAGAAATGTGCAAAAGCTTACTATCTACACAGGGGAACTTGAAGACAATATACAACTCCAGCCCCTGAAAATGTATGTAACATTATACTGATCAATATAACAAAAAATGTAAACAATCACTATAAACCAGGTTATGGATATCTATATTGTCTGTGTGAAAATGAATTAAATGAAAATAACTTTCAAGATTCATTGTGCTTTTCCATCATTCCACTAGAACAAGTACTCCGAAAAATTGAAAAATTTTGTTGAAACTCATTATGATAGATCTACAGTGAATTCTGTCAAGTCATCATAATTTTGGTTTATTCTGATTGATTTTAAGGGCTTACATGAACCTTTATGTTTTCTATTTGATTTATCTGACAGATTTTGAAGTTAACCTGACATATAACTTTCAATTTAATTAATTTTAGGACCCACAAAGCTTAATGTTTTATTACATGGGATAAGGCAATTCAAACCTCCTGTACAATGGGTTAACAGTTCAGCAGAATGTTTCTGCAATGCATGGCCAACTGGACTGTGCATAAAATGTAATGCAAGGACAAAGGTTAAAGGCCTATACACATTTATACAAGTCTTTGTATAAGATGACTTTTAGAATTTTGGATATTATTGATTTCTGCACTTACAGCAACTTCAGCATGATACTGTTTGTGCAAACGTCTTAAAGAAAGAAAGTGGTCCGAATGCTCACATGCCTTAATCACATCTAACTGCCACCCAATTCTGTGCCAATAAAACTGACGTGCACGACAGAAAATATGTGCACATGCACATTCGAACTCTGTGCCAATAAAACTGACGTGCATGACAGAAAATATGTGCACATGCACATTCATATTGGTACATGAAAGTGCCTTCTCCTTACGTGATGTTCACGTACATGCATTTGAGACTTACTCAGCTGGAAGACACCATGTTTTAGGGAAGAAATTATATTCATTTGGGAACATTTTAAGCATGCGGTTAAGATTGCGAGCCAGCAGATCCTTACGACAAATCTCCAACATGCCTGGGAAATGATTAATTTTCTGAAAAATCCAAAAGGTTTGTCAGCCCTCAAATAACATTAATACATCAATATAAAGAGTTTTTAAATGTTAAATCCTATGAGATAATTGTAGAACTATTTATTTCATACCACATTATGTTATAAGAGTTTCTATAAAATACCTGTCTCTACTGTCATCAAAACAAAGAAGAAAATGCATGTGTTTGTGTGTGTGTGGGTGGCCGCAAAATTCCTATTTGACTCTTGCAACAAGTTATGACAGCATGTTTCAAGCCTAAAGAAAATTATCTGAAGACATATGCAAAACGCCCTGATTACCCAATCAGATATGATGGAACAGATGAGTGTAGCAGATATATCTCAATTGTAATGAGGTTTGTGGCTGCAGTAGAAAAAAAACTACCCTGCTACATGTCATGGAAGAGGAGGTAGAACTCCTACTTATTCTTGACTTAGGCATTAGATGTGGGTGAGTGGTCAGGAACAGGTATCAAACCCCAGTTGTCCAATCCACAATCAAACACTATACTGACTTAGTACCCTAAACTATCCACGGCTGCATTAACAACAGTATACTGACAAGTAAAACACTTCACAGTCTTTACAATTTTGTGGAAATTATGCAACATAAATCATGACACGCAATATGAACTGAAGTCATACGTTAGAATCTTACCACAAGCACATTGTCCAAATTAAATGTATAAAATTCTCTAATATTTAACTGTCTATCAATTTAATTCAACATATTTTACATAGCTTAAATCTCAGATATTTACAGTACTTGCTACTTCCAAATCATTTTTAAAAATTAAAATATCACACTTAGATTAGAAAAACACAAAAATGGCAATGCAAAAATATCAGTTACCTGGAATCGCTTCATTTCTTTGGCTTTTTCAACTGTTACAGATAGATCGGTCCAGTATACATTCCAAGAGTCATCTTCCCCTACATCCCGAATTCCTAGCTTCATAGCTACTTGCCGAACCACCTCGTATTTGCAATTTTCTGTGCAAATTGTAACCCTAAAAAATATATACATACATAAACAAATACATATATAAAGGAAGAATTTACCATTAATATACAATTACATAAATCTCTGGATTCTGAAATGACTGACCGAATACTGCATGTTATTTACTTGGTAGAACCGTATCAATATAAATAACTTAAGCAGTAAAGGATTCGAGGTTTTCACGCCGGTGAGTGAATCAACATGACAGCAATGCAATGTCTAACACAGGTGCATGTTGCTTATATGTTCCTAGGTTAGTAACATTTTATTCTAGTAATGATTTTCTTTTCAATAGATCAAACAGGACCTGATCATGGGTTCTTTAGATCATGGCAAGGAATCTTTGGGCCTGACTGCAATAATGAATATCTTCATCAATGGAATAACTATGTATTACCCCAGGAAGACATTGTACCATGAAATTTCTAGGTTATATTTATACGGATCATGTGCTTATTGTCACATGGATCAATAACATGTTTCTATTAAGTTTCCTAAATTATAACATATAATAAGCACACAGACTAACCATTTAGAAAGCCTATAGTAAGTAAATTAGATACTAAGAGAAAGAAAGATGATTTATTCATAAACAGCTATAAACAGTTCAGCAAATTTAAAACACGTTTTTTGTCAGTTACAAAGAAATCCAAAAAATTAAATTAATTTAATACAAGCTGAATTATAAAAAATTATTAGAGCCATTTCAAATCACATACAGTTCAAGAATTTGTGATCCCTAAGATTTCTTTATATGAAGGTTTCACTATGCATATAAACAAGTAAAATTACAATTAACCAAAATGTACATAACTCCTGTACATTTGGAAATTTTCAATTGATGTCACTGAATAAGTTTTTGTGACTTAACATGTAAAATGTTCTGCTGCCAACCTCAGCAGTTCACAAATTAAACACAGATATGGCTTAAATGCATAAAAACTCATAAGGTGCTTGAAATTACTTTTATAATAGAGATGCCACATTACCTGCATTTTCTCTTCTTCTTCTTCTTCTTCCATCTTCCCTTTCGTCCTCCATTTAGAAAGAACTTTTTATTATTTTTTATAGTTATTTTCTTATGCACTGGTGATTTTTGAGGCATGTGTGAAGGTCCTACAAAAATTCAAAATACTAAGACAGGATTCCTTTTTTTAAAGCACTAATGAAAATTAAAAGAGTGTTCGTCTACACATTCTGTTTGTTCACAAGAGCCTGCCAGTGGTCCCTTTCCTGAGCCAAATGATTGCAGTCCACACAATCCCATCCTATTTATTTAAGCTCCATTTGAATAATATACACCCCTCTACAGCAAAGTCTTCCAAATGGCGTCTTCCCGTCGCAATGTCTGAAAGAAACTGTTACATTTCCCATCTGTCAAAGTATGATACATGCCCTGCAATCTCATCTTACACTTTACAAGAATATTATTTATGGACATAAACAGCCTCATTATTTTCCTGTGTAATCTTGGGCTCTGAATGTATGTTTTGTCCAGAATGGTAAGCCTGAATTATTTACTTGTATGACAACAGAATTTTCTGAATCTGAGTCTGCAATTTCTTCTTACAACTTGGAAATATCATTTTGAGACTCTTTACCAGAAAGTTCTTCCACATAACACTCTTAACCGTCACTATGGCTTTCATGTTTCATAATCACAAAATAATACGCAAGTCACATCTGTGATCATGCTGCTTTAAAAACATAAAAATAAAGCCACAATATTGCATATAGACACTATGACAAATAAAGATGGAGTATAGAAGAAATCTGCCACAGATAATACCAGTCAATGAACTACTGATTAGTAGTTATATTTAATAAGAAACAAAATTATTGCTATAAATTAAAGAAATCAAGACAATTTGTAACCACAAAATTATAACTTAGGGTAAATTTTAAACTTGAATTGATTCAGGATAGCAAGTGGTTAAAATACACATAAATAATACCTTCACACTGTTTAGTAATTTGAGCATTATGTTGATATTCTTTCTCTTCGCCAGAATCCAGAGAAAAATCTTCTAGAACGCAAGATTCCTGGCTTGCTGAAAATTTAGGAATATCATATACATCAACCAATGTGAGTGCTTCATCAACTGTTCTGTCATCTGCAGTTGTAATGTAAGGCACATGATTGTGTTGTTCTTGACTGTCACTCTCATTACTACTGATCTGGCGATTCATCAATTCTATTATCCTGCTCGGTCGCACCGTCCTTCTTCCACCATTCATGACAGCCGATCGTCATGTCCGAAACATCCTAAAATTATAAACAAGTAATCCTACAGTATTCTGTAATCACTTGGGTTGACTTAAAAAAGGTACCTGGCTAAAGACTTAATGACCAAATTTTATTCCTAACAGAGGCATTTGAAAAGTTACTCATGTCCAAAATGTGCACAGTGCTTTGTAAATTGTATTGCTTAAACAATAATGAATTAAAAATTATGTATGTTATGTTATGCTCCTGTCAAACGATCCAAGGGATTAAAGCAAATTTTAATTCAGATGCAAACTGAAAGCTCATAAAAATAAATCCATATTCATTGGATTTACAGCAATGAAAATGTGTATAGCAAGTGACAAACTGGTAATGAAACACACAAGATATTTTAATTTTTGAATGTTGTTTATGCACTCTTTAATGCTAGCTGAAAATTCCTCCCCACATGTATACTGGTGTCCGTGACACATTTAGGCCTCTCCCAATCCATTCTGCGGACTGTCTCATATCTCCACGTTTCAAAACTGACCGAAGTTACGGCCTGCTTTGAAATAAATTCCTCCCCAAACGAATAAAGTCAACTCCGCAATATGACATTACACTACAAAAGTTTTCCAAACGCGTGTGGCATACTAACTGTGCTGTTACACGAAGCTGTAGATACGGTTTATTCAAGCACATAATTATACCACGAAACACCCAGAACTGTCAAGAAAATAGCTGTGAAACAAACACATACCACGAAACACCTAGATTTGTCAAGAAAATAGCTGTGAAACAAACATTCACTTCGGAATATACCATCTACTTTAATTTTTAAAGTTCGCGTTACATCTTCTCGGTAAGCATGACTTGATCGTAAACCAACAATTAATAAGTTTTATTGTTAACCACTACGTAGCGCCACAAAACCACACAATATGGTACTCCTACCATCGCAAACTACTACTCCCCGCCTACTCCTGCACTAGGTACGTCGAAGGACCAATAACCAACAGCTATTACGCTTTTCGAGCAGACGAAGACAGGAACACCACACACGAAACGTTAACTATTCCCTAATACGCAAATTAAAATATCCCTATCAGTGTTTGAACGCCTTACAGCCATTTCGGCCGCTTGAGAAACATTTTATTCATGCTAAAGTTCTCCAAATTGTGAATTACGAACCAATATTAATGCTTAAAACACGCAGTGGCGGGAACAATTTTCGAGTGTAATATGGCTTATTGTTAAAGAGGAGGTAGCTTATAAGAGAATAATGAACTGTGCTACTGTCGTAGAATCAAGAAAAATAAGAAGAAAACACTTGCATAAAATTAGTAATATAGAACTGTCAATAGAACATGGGGCAGTACATTTATAGTTATAAGAATAAATATTGTATTATAGCTGTGGTCCGTAAAAACCCGGTGTTAGGCAAACACAATCTCCCGGGTGCAGAACTCAAATTAATAAATCACTGACTAAAAAGTCATTCAATTATAAATTCGGTGTTAAACAGAAGAGTGTTTCTGACTTGGGAGGAGGGGGGGGGGCTGTTCTGAAATCTGTTATGCAGTTCGGAGTGATAGTTACAAAATTTCTACTTCGAATTGGATTTTAAGGCCCATGTGTGGGCTTGTATTTTGTAATGTGTGACTTTTAAATTCCGAGATAGATTCACTGATGACATTTCTGGATTCTTATAAAGATAGGAATAATGAAGAATTTACAGTTACATTATTTGAAGGATATTCGACTGCCATTAGCCTGCTGGAAATCTCGTCTATGTGACGTGTCAAACTCTTTCAATAATCGTATTTTGCTCATCCCTCGTTTAGTTTCACGCAGTATTAAATATGGGAAAATATTAAATATGCTAGAATTTTTGTACGTTGCAAACGTGATCTTCCAAAACTTTGCCACGTGACATTCTATGACGAATGTAATTATGGAGCGCATATACTTATCAACTAGCTAAAATCTGCGGCCTCTCTAACTGTCTGGTTTATTTATTTATTTTTAGAGATGTCTTCAATTGCTCAGATAATACAACATCAACCTGGTTTATTTATTTATTTTTTAGAAATGTTTTCAATTGCTCAGATAATACAACATCAAACAGCTGATGATTGGTGAATAAGGAATTGGAAGCTCTAGGAACGAAGTGAGAGTGGAATGATTTACAAAAACTATTGTAGCATTTCACTTCAGGGACTGAGAAAAGTCACGAACTTCAGTCATGGAAACCGTTCTCCGGGCTGATATTTTAACCCGGAACCTGCCAAATGCGAAGTAGAAATGTTAACTACTCGGCCGAGATGTTTGTTAGCTCCATTTCATATTATTTTCGTTGTATATGAAGAAAATGTTCAATTTCACTGGTCCCTCCGTAGATATTCGATCACATTTTTAGTTTCAACATCATCCCTGGAATTCTTTTTCATATTAATACAGTCTTGTCTTCTTGGTGTGAGACATTTCTTTTCGAGTGTAATTGACACTAAGATACGAATTGTTAATCTTCAAGTCTTGTTATAACATCCAGAATTCCAATGGAGCATTTCGGATATGCAAGCCTACAGTCTTCTCCGTTTCTTCCATGTTCTTCTGCGATATTAAAAGCTGGAGATAGCTTTTCGTCCAAAGATGAAGACGGACTGAAATTAATACAGAAATTTCGCTTTGTTATACAAGCTTTTGTGCCAACCACGCTTTCATTTAAAAACTTCAGATTCATATTCTACGACCGCAGTTACACAAAACAGACAACCAACAAACGATTGAACAAGAAAGACAGTTTAAAGCAACAAACTTCAGTAAGAACAATAAAAATTACTATGATCCCCATGCCAGAATAAAACTTCTGACCCTTAAAATTTGTTTAACTTTGTAATTTTCTTAGACCCGTTCATCGTGCGTCGACAAGGTATAACCATATTTTTTCGTACAGATAATTTAGTACTATGTAGTCAAATGCCCATAAACAGAGATTAAACGTAACAAAACAATGTTTAAGAGACACAGAAAATAACGTGGCACCTCTAAACCGAGCACTCAAAGATAAATTCTAATTAATTTTCTATGTTAATTCTGAAAAAAAACAGTCTTTAAATATTTTAATACTTACGTGAATAAAATGTGAAGAATATCGCCTAAAAGTCCATTTTCGCTACTTTGAAACAACTGAGTGTTAGCAGCTTCACATATGGTATTTAGTAGGCATTCTCTGCCCTGGAAACCAAATCTGAAAAATAAATAAGCTATTAAATAAATTCATATAAATAAAGAAATAAATGAACCAAATAAAACTTTCTAAACAATCATAATACGATGATTTACCTTCAAAGCTGGAGGATAAAAATAAACTTATAAGAATTATAACAACTGTGTAGAATTAATATTAAACGTAAGTGGAAACTACAAGGAAGTAACGTACATAATATTTTCTTTTAAGAAATCATCTCTAGAGACCATTTCAGGCACCAAGACGTAACGTAGAAAAAATACTGAATTTGGAAAATAGGTTGTGAAAATATGGGTCCACGCGTATGTGTAATGAAACTGGAAGAACTAAGATGAAAACATTCCATAATTATTCTAATACAAATCATGTAAATAATGAAATATTGCATTATGGGCATGGCCCATAATCTCAAAATGACAAAATTTCCTAATATTTGCTGCAAGTATATATTAATCTGGATTCTACATAACTAAAATTTCACATAATAACTTACTTTTGAAATAAATTCTCCAACACAGCATATGTTCTGCGCCTATCCATACCTCTCGACGTTCTAGAATTCTCATTTTCAGAGAATAAGTACTGGGGATATTCTGGAACGTGATAATTGGCTTCAAAGAACCAGCCGACATATACATCTTCTTTGTTTTCAAGAGGGATTGTTGCACTTAAAAATAACTGAAAATAAAGAAAGTCAAGAAGTAGATGACTGGACATATTTACGAAACATAAACGTTTCTCCTTCCCTCTTTTTTTTCTAGAAATATTCCTAAAATCGCTCCGTTAACAGTTAATATTTTCAGTATAAACTGAACCAAATACAGCATGACAGAGTATGTACGTAAATTTTGAAGAATTTAACGTTCAGTTGATTTTGTAGTGGACAACACTTCGGTTCGAATCTTCGCCTTAACTATAATTATTATTTTTCTTTATTTCCTCGTTGTATTATTAACTTTGCAAGAAATACAACATTAATTAAGTTTTTGGGAAGTTAGAAGGCAATTTGATCAAGAAACTGGACTATATGGTCACCAACACAATGGATTATGAATTTCCGTTTAATCTGATCTTTGTAACATTTGAAATGGTTCAATTAAAATCAATCAAACGGTTCTTGAGTCACGAGGTGACACGGCGCAAAAAGTTATATTATGTGATTTCCACGAACACCGAAAGGATTATGGAATTACATTTCTGCATCTAAATATTGTGCTTCGATTTCCTCTGCAAGTTTGTTCGGAAATATTCTTTGTCCCGATTAATGTTTAACAAATTACGACAAAGACATACACTTCGTGTCTTCATGTAAACTATTCGTTACTGGCCGATTTTAACCAAACAGGAATGTGTCATCAAGTTGTTAGCGAACAGATGGACGGAAGCCAAGTTAAATGGCGGAGGTTTGCAAATGTTCTTAAAGTCCCTTGTTTTACACGTGCGCGCAGTTTATCAGTGCCCAAAGAAAGCATCACAACTTAACCAAAAACTAATTCCATGGGATGAAGTCATTCTTTCGAAACTAATAATAGTTGCTCAGGTAGAAACTCCCTGCACTCCTTGGAACCCACAAAAATTATTACCACGTTCAGAAAAGCCCCCCGCTAGTTCCTGTCTTAAGCCAGATTAATTCAGTTGAAACTATCGTAGCCTATTATTTGAGATCCATTTAAAATTTTATCTTATTTGCGTCAAGGTTTTCCAAGAGATCTGTTGCTTTCAGGTTTTTCCAACAAAAATTGCACGTGTGAATTTATCTCTCATGCGTTCTACATGTCCCGTACATCTTATCTTTCTAGTTTTGAATAACACTTTCAGTTGTTAACACAGAATGATAATTGTATTACAAAAGACGTGTATAAGTGTAAGTTATATTTCGTCACAAATAATTACACTAACCCCCATTGTGGTGCCTTCTGGGAATATTATGTGTCGAACTTTCCTTGTCATAATGGGTAGTTCTGTTTTCTGTTCCAGTAGATAGTTGCCTGGTTGGACGGCTAGTATTACCATAGTAGTTAGACTGGAACAGAACACATTACGTCATTAGCCTAAGCCCAAATTTCTAAAGAAAAAATATGCTTTCTCACCCAAGATCTCCACATGTCAATACATATCCAAATCCCCATTCCGACTTAGCTTAATTTCAACATTTAACATCACGATTCTGTCCAATTCCTCTCTACTACTCAATGGTTTTCATTCCACTAGAAGCAAAATATAAACTGACTCAACCTACATTGCCAGATTTACGACATATTCTAGAGGATTGTGAAAAGTTACGTAACAGAATGGCTTATTTTAGCAACAGTCTAATTCGACCTAATTTTTAAGTGTTACTTCTAACTTTATTCAAAATTGTCATTAACAAAAACTTTACTATTTTAATAATTTTAATCAGAGTTAAATTCTACCTCTTTAATTCTAGTTGGCATAAATAACACACAAGATTGGTCTGAGGATGGTACCATTGCACCGAAACATGTCGTCATAATAAAAATAATATGAATTTAGAAATATTATGTTGAAGTTCCTAATTACAACGTAATATCAATAACACAATCTAATGATTACATAAAAAACTATTCATATCGCACTCATTCGAAGACATAAGGAAAACTATACAAATACAGGCGTATTAAAAATATTGTAAATACTTTCAATACTGAAGAAAACTTAAAAAAAAACTTACATGAAATTAAAGTAAGATGCCATTGACATTGAAGTTCACTGCCACATGGCGTATAAGTATTATTGCACTATTCGAGTAAAACAAGCTTTTACCTGAAGACGAGTTCTTAAGTGCAAGCTGTTTTGATGTTTAGAACGTGTTCACTGACGGTGTGACGAACCGACTAGGTATACACTTAAATGAAAGGCAAACAAATAATGTTGCCTTCCTCCTTATACAATGCTTCACTAGTCAAAGAAGTTAGTATTTTATTAATTTACACTGAGACCTGCGACAAAACCCTTGGGCTGTATGAACGTGTTACATCTAGGAATGTTAAAGACAAATCTAGTTTTGAATGCGTTTCACAGGCGTCATTAAATATTAACTTTCATTTCAATTTTAAACTGAGCTATATGTTACATAATAACTGGAAAACTCCTTAACCTCAGTTTAAACATTATTTACTGTTCGTGGAAGGACATCTACAACATATACATATATACAGACTGTAACCGCTCATCAATCCCTCTACTGGTCTATGCTGATTTTTTTTTGTACTTGTAAGAAACGCAACTCTTGTGTGATAGATCATAAGGTCTTTTTTGTTGTTACATTAGCCACGTATTGTCATGCTTTATTTTGTCAGTTTCTGATTTCTTTGTTTTTAATTTGTACTCTGGAATCGGAAATGGACATCTGGTTATAAGTGGTACAGCGAGATCTGCAGTGCGTGGGAACGCAGAGGGTTTCAGGAATTTCCAGACTTGTACATAAAATTGCCTGCTGCTGGTCTAAATGGGTCGGCCGCTCGTTAGCGATGCCCTCTAGAATTAACAATGTGAGGGAAACTCCTTGAGGATTGGTGGGAAAGATGAGGTCCATAGAACCGAACCTGGACCCACACCAATAGGAGTTGAGGTTACATTTCCCTTTTGGGAGAAGTGGGAGATTTTGATGGCCCAACCGTATGGGTGTATACGATATAAAAAGGGTTTGTTTTTAGCCGCAGAGGATATTATTATTATTATAGCACATTACACTAGACTACATTACGTTAAGTTGCAGAGATTCGTACGTGTGTACGGAGGTGGTTATGTATTTGGGAGAAGTGTGGAATCTGTAAAGTGTAGGACTGCGTGACGTGGGATCGGCGTATGTAGATCAACGATCACGCAGGTCCTAAATAAATAAAGAGTCCCACCCAATCAATCCGAGTGTTTAATCGTGCTGTTACGACCTGGCCGTTACACCAAATGAGACGGAGTCGACGCATACCGACTAGCTGAGCAGAGCAGAGAACCCAACAATCCCTACCAGCCACATCGTAGCGGACCCTGCGATCACCCAAGAAGGAAGAAAAATGGTTACAACGTTCACACCGGACACGAAGAGTTGTTACTAACATTTTATAAGAAACTGTGGAATATTTGGAACTTTTTTCAACCAAACCAACATTAAATAATATCTGTAAATTTTATAACTTACGTTAGTTTCTTCTAGACATCAAAATGTGTTCATTTTCAACATAAAAATACACGAAAGTAAACACAGAAACATTTATTTGTTTACATCTTGTCAGTCTAATCACAATAAAATTCCTATCAAATATTAAAATATTACCATAATTAACATTTAAATATTTAAAATATATTAAATGATGTTCTCTATCGAAATGTTCGATTTACATTAGATCATCACTTTTTACACGACATGTTTCAGTTCTAAAAGAACCATCTTCAGGTGTATAAAATTATATAAACTTAAACTTAAATATAATTCCTTTTAATATTTTAATATTTGATAGGAATTTTTTAATATTTTAATATTTGATAGTAATTTTATTGTGATTAGACTGACAAGATTTAAACAAATATGTATTTATCACAATATGACGCAACTTTATCATCACATAAACATTATAAATACGTGTTTGCAGCCCTTATTAATCCAGTGACATACTCCGGCAACAATATATGTTCATCCATTTGGGTGACATTAGATAATTCGACGGACATTAAAAGTCACAGGATGATTGTCAAAACATCTCGATTAATGAACAACAGATATATGCCTTTAAAGAAGTCTTTCACAAGTTTGTCATTTGTATTAAAATATTTTAGTTGAATACAAGACTTTTGAGTACACTAAATATCTGTCTATAAGTAATTATTTTATATCTGAGTAATTTATGTTTAAGTATTTTATACACCTACACATTGCGGTATTTTGATATAAAAACAAATTACGACTTCATTTCGCAATACTGACAAACTCACAATCAGTCTTAAATCCAGTGTTTCGAGAGAACTTATAGTAGTTATAGATAAATTCCGAGTTCAGAATGTATACACCTTGAAGGTAAAAAGGCAATTAGACCAACACGTCAGTTTGTAGCCGAAGTTGACATAACAAATAAAATAAATTAAATAAGAGATCTTACACTTTTAAGCTACCATGTAGCACCAAGTCTAATGGACACGCATTTATATTCACTGTACTAATTGAAGTGTAAACAGTCTCACATTAGCTTCTCTTTGCACAGCATGCAATAAATCACATGCAGAGATCATGAAAACGTGACGTGAGTTTAGGCGGTGATATTAAATGGACTCGTCTTATGGCGTTATTGCACCAAATCGGTTCACAACACCACCGAATATGATCGAATTTTGAAGTTTAATAACGACTGTGTAATACATTGTCTTTAAAATTATTTTTTATACTTCTCTCTGTGTCTGGAAGTTATTAAACTATGTTTCATAAGTCGGTTTTACTTCTATTTTCGAGTCAAAGTAGGGAGGAAAACCTTATCTGCTGGGCCGCCGGGGGGAGCTAGTCTCAAACCAAGTAAAATTTTGTACTTTGCTTTTCATCTATCAATAATTACTGCCACACAAGTGTTTAATTAATCATTTCAATTAAGGAACACTTTATATATCAATAATTACTGCCACAAAAGTGTTTAATTAATCATTTCAATTAAGTCGCTTGCCACTACCTCACGCCGCGTCATCAACTGGCGGAAATGTACCAACATGTTGAATAAGAAAATACGAACAGCCGATGGTGGGTGGTCAGCCAGATTGTTGTGGAACTGACAATATTTCACTGTAATAACAGAATCTTAGTGTCACAAAAGGTCACGCACTTGAGTGAAATAAAAGGCAAGCAAACGGCCACGCAGGTTTGAATAAGACGCAGAAAGAACTTACCTCTGAACGTCATTTGCAGGTAGATGCCAATGCTTCGGAGGGAAATACTGCCAGTATCTTCAGAACAAGTATCGTACCTACAAGTCCTCACAGGGTCACAGCCCAGAAAACAAGACACTTACTGCCGTGAAAACAACATAAGACGACGTAAGTTATTTAATCCATGTGCCTCGCTGTTTCGTGGGTTGCCATATGAGTTTAATTCGTAAATAAATATATACGTGATAAATATTTATAAACGAGACTTGTCGCCAAGCGCCACCATGACAGTTTATGGAGATCATGATGTCACATTCTTCCGTTTTTAAAACATAAATTTAATGAAAGTAGAATAATTTAGGCTGTCAACTTGTCAGATAAGACGTTAAAGTGTCCTGTTAAGACAAAAATTGCTTGTAAATGTTACTTAAGGTGGACACAGTGTCAAAAAGTTTATATATTTATGTATTCATGATGATACCAAAATTAACGTGGCATTTAGTAGTGTGACATGCAATTAACTGATGGTGTCACTTGTGAGAAACAGCTGCTATGAAAATAAATTTACGTAAGACTTATTTTAGAATTTGTGATTTTTATGGCGATTTGGGTGTATCTAGCGGTTCTTATGACTACTAGAAGACTACGCGGTTTAATATCCCAGAAGCCCCCTCTGTAAATAAACTTGCCGATCATTGTTCGACGACAGAGAGAGATACGTCATTTTACAGTAAAAATTACACGTTTGTGAGACAATTACAATGATAGCTCACATTTTTGTCCATCTGACTGCTAAAGTTTGTAATTTACATATACGAAGTCAGATTTTACTCTGTTTCAAGACAAATGAGTTGAAAGGCTTCGGGGTCTTGTTTCATTCGAACAACACGGTCTTTAAAATCCGAGTTTGGGCATGATCGAATGTCCGAGGACACACGATGGGCCAATTCAACAAACACCAAACACACATCGTTCCAGACAGAATTACGAAATGAAGCAGGAAAAATATAACTGAGGAAGAGTATGACAAGAAGATTATTGAGCATCGATGAAGATCTGGATTATGTATATTCTATTCGCAGGAGCAAGATTTTAGGCTTGGTCACAAAATTTTGGTTAAGGATTTTGCAAATGGACAGGGAGGATTTAGTAAGGGGATGCTACGACTGGCAGGTAAGGAACTTGAAAATTGGGGGATGGGCTAAGGGGCTAAAAGAGGAATTAGATAAATTGGGGTTGGGGTATATTTGGCAGGATCCGCAAGGAAGAAGCGTGGGCAGGACGTGTGAAATTTTAAAGGAGAGGTGCAACGCCATAGAACGACAGAACGTTTTTGATAAAATTAGAGAAAAGATATCATTGGCGTTGTACGGGGAGATGAAATCAGGGTCGGGTAGACAGGGTTACACTGGTTGTTGTACAAGGGTGGAGAGGGAGGGATGGGCATGGTTCAGAGCGGGTATTTGGAAGCTGAGAGGGATGAAGGGGGGGCATGGATGAAAAAATATGCCCTTTATGTGGGGCGACAGAAAGCGAGATTCACATACTATTAAAGTGTACGGAAACCGGGAGGTGGAGGGAACAGCTCCTGAGGAACAAGTGGTTCACCGTTGGTGAAGAGTTGGCCTTCAAGGCAATTTTAAGCTCTACGAATGACACGGAGGTCATCGGATGTAGGGAACTTTCTGTACAAAGTAAGATGTAAAAGACATCAAAATTAGGAATTTAGAACTACCACTGGGATAGAAGGCACGGGAGCATTAAGAAAGAGTTATGTAAATAGTATTAGGGATTAAGGAATAGTCACGTAGAGTAGCATTAGTGAATAGTTGTAGTAAGAATTAGTGCTAATATTGCTACGTATGTAAGGACTGTGACCGTGAAAACCTGGTGTTAGGCGGCCACAGATCTCTGTATATAGTTCTAAACCAAATATATTATTATTATGTATATTCTATTCTATTTAGGTATAAACATAAACGTGACTTGTTATGGAGGTCAACAGTCTTACGTTATTTGGATGTTACTATCGTCTGCGTCATTTATTTTGGCATCTTACAGACGTGAGGGGTGAGGGCGGAAGCAAGGGAGGAGAGTACGATACACATTGGCATGCGTATGATTTGCAGACTCGTAGTAAACTGACGCGGACAATAACTGTCACACACAGCACAAACCAATCAATCTCTGTTTGTGGTGATGGCGTCAAAGAGTCCGAAAGAACATTTCGGGTGAGCAAGTCGACAATCAACACCATCTGTTCCAAGTTGCTCGGCAATGTTGAAATCCAGAGGCAATTTCTCATCCAAAGATGATGATGGACTGAAAAAGTACATTATAATTGTATTTAATGATCCTGTCTTTCTCCATTCTGAACTGAAGGCTACGTGCCAGCATTGGTCTCAGTAACATTCGAAGCGTGTTGCTAAATTGTATATGAAATTTAAGAAAATATTACCAGTGGGAAGTCACAGCATTGCGATGACCTACACGCTTCTAACTAGCTAATTACGCACATGTAATTAAGTAACTGAATAGATAAGTAATTCAATACGTCAAAGTAACTTAGTAAATAAATAGTTAACTAACAAAAGTAACATTCTGCTCAACTACTCATCAATTCATCTAGCCACGTAAACCAAGACATGTACCAACAACCATTTTCCACAGATTGGTTATTATTGTAACAGGTTGTTTACAAAACGTTACTAAAGACACAGAAACAAGTTACATATAGGAGGATAATATTAAAACATATCCGAGAGAGTTATATTGTGCTGGTAAAAAATTGGACTGAACTGACTCATTCCATGTTACACTACCAGATGTTTTTGTATCTACTGATACAGACTTTTCGAGTTGACAGCAGTGTCATAAAGTTTATTAATTTTCATATAAAACTGCGCTTTTAAAAGTTTAATCAACTCAATTAGAATTAGAACGTGCATTTACGAACTTACGGATGGGTAATACGTCACTGTTCACACTCAAATTTCCGACTCTGCTCGAATGCGTGAAACAAATTTAATCAGTAATCCATTTATGTAAACACAAACTAATAATTACGTTAATTACTTACGTACATGTGTAATGAAAGAGTTAATAAAATAAATGTTGCCACACTTACGTAAACACAATGTGAAAGAGGTCACCAAACAATCCATTGTGCTTGTTCCGATGTAACTCATAAGCTGACACTTCGCAGATTGTCCTTAGAAGACACTCTCTTCCGTTGAAACCGAATCTGCAGAAATCAGAGAGTGGCAGAGGATGGTAGGCGGAATTCTCTCCTAGTGACAAATTCTTGGAAATTTGGATGCGTTTATATGTTATAAGACTTTTAGTAAATATGATATTTGGATATAGTTGGTGTCATCTTAACATAGTTATTTAGATTTAAAATACTCCATTTTACTTTGAATATATGTTGATGGAATGTATTTTCGCCAATTTATTTCACAATAAAACACTAGGTTAATTTTATGAATATACTTATTTAAGTTAGTATTTAATACGTCTGCTGTTTATGAGATTAATGTTACTTAAATGTATTATAATATAACATACTTTCATACATTTTATTTCCGTATCATCTCACTGTTCGTACAGGCCTGTACGTGACAAAAGCAACCCTACAGATCTAAAGCTCTCAGCTACTGAATGCATTGAATTACTGTAGCGAGACATGTCTCTGTGCATAAAGTCCATGCAGCGACCTACTCAGTCCCTAATAATGGCAGTAAAAACAATTTTAAAGATTTAGAATTAACTCTATACTAGCACTAACGATCACCCGAGCCGACTTCATTTAACTGGTGCTGGGACCACATAGTTTCTTTCACTTTGCAAAATTGAACCTACCTGTGAAATGTTTTCTCCAGCATGGTGTACACCCCTGTTCTGTTCAGGTCTCTAGAAATTCGGCTTGACCTCTCATCATCGAAGAGAGGAGGCAAGGTGGACGAGATTTCTGGAACGTGATAATCGGCCTCGGCGAACCAAGCTTCGGAGACATCGCCACTGGTCTGGAGCGGAATTGTCGCGGCTAGAACCATCTACACATAATAAGCGACTCCGAAACTAAGGGCTGTTGTGACAGACATAAAACTGCTTCTGAAAATATGTGTGTAGGCAGTTAAAAAACGGCACGTATTATTTGCATTATGCCAACTAATTGTATGACCGAAACAAATACAAAGGTAAAATATGAAGACATTTAAAATTTATTTTAGGAATATGAAAGTATTTTTTCCTTATATTCAATAAAATTTTGCGGTTTCAATACATAATCGATTACGCGAGCACTCACCCCCATAGTGCTGCCTTCAGGAAAGAATACGTAACGTAGTTTCCTCGAGAGAATAGTCTGATCACTGTTTTCACTACACTGGCAGTTACTGTTGTTAACTGTTAGTAGTGCCAATGACGTCAATCTGAAAAAGAACGCACTCAAGCACTGTGAGTGAAACACAGCTTAAAAATATCTTACGACGTCGAAAAAAATTTCTAAAATCGAAAGAGCTACCGAATGCCAATTTTCGTAACACGAAATTTAATTACGGCTACTAGACCCAGGATTTATCTCTGAAAATCGGCGTAAAAATTTAACGTAGCTCTTATGGTCAGAATTAGTAGAGGTAAAAGGTTGTAGAGCTTAAAATTTTTTATAGCAAAGCACAGACAGACAGACAGACGCAGACAGCTTGTATGTCGTGCCGACAACAAGGAATTAAATGATGCCCACCATTTTCAGTATCAACGCACAAAACCAAATTTAATTAAGATCAACTCGGCATGATATCGGGGATGAAAGCCGCGGAAGGCAAGTAGGCAAAAGCGACTTCACCACTAAGAAATTCGTGCCAAAGAACACATTAGCAAAACACGCCTTCTTCTTATGTATTTCCACAACACAAATGCTCACAGTTTAATCCATTTCTATATTCTATAGGTTTTAAATAACGTTGAGAGTTATTTAGCTTACATCCTGTCACAAGGCCAAATGTAAAAACACGACACACAAAAACAAAACTCCTACTGAATATATGATATCGTCTCGAATCTCTTTTGTTTCGAAAATCTATATCCACATAAATGAAATTCCAATTTTTACTTCGTTCTTGAAGGAGTAACAACTCTTCTCTCCATTCGGAGCGATTTAATATGTATTAATTTGGCCCCACATCTGTAATAAAAGCATTATTTTAAGGGGGTTAACATATGATTAAGTTGACATGAGCAGTTTCACTTGTCATTTTTACACTAAATGATATACATATTCTTTTGCGTAATCGTCTTAATCGTTTCCAAAAAATACAAACATTTAAACACGACAAACCAACTTTTTTCTTGCAGGAACATATTTTTAAAATTAATTTATCCGCTAAGTACATTCTTACGTGTAATTTTTATTTTCTCATCAATTACTTGTCAGAATTGCAGGAAAAAGTTTACCTAATGAGTGCGAATCTCCAAACTTAAGCAACTTTTTTAATACTGTCTTACATAGTTTTGACATTAAAAAGTTAAATATACAAATTAAATTCGAGACTTTAAAAATAATGTTTTGGTTAAGGTTGGTTAAGTCTAGTTACTCACAGGATTCTGAAATATCTTGACATTCTTCTTACTGTTCAGGTCCATACCTGTGGACCATTCACTGGCGCCGAAGACATACTTGGTCAGTGTTCAGCCTTTGAAACACCAAAATGGAACTTATACGCTGAAAGACATCCTCGTATACAAGACGGATGGAGAAAATTATAACAATAAGAAGAAGAGGTAGGAAAGGAAACACTGAGACACAAGTTCGCTGAACTTACTGGCCTCGTAATAAGCAGAACAAACATTATTTTGTTTATCGCTCCACGTGCTTCCAGTAAACATTCCTAATTTTTTTCAACTACCGGTTTTGTGAACTGTAGAAGGCGTGTTTTAAATATTTTAGTTTAGAAACTAGAAAATCACGAGTCAATTTTACGTCGCTAGGCACGTAACTTCCTATTTGAAATGGCTTCTTGTTCTGTAGAAATAAATGTGGGTCTGCTTTTCGCCTAAAACTATAGATGGAGACGCTTCGGAAATCATATCAATCGCCAAATATTTATAAGATGACAAAATCAAGGAGAATGGGGCAGGGAACATGTAGCACACACGAAAAATATCATAGAATCAAGGAGAATGGGTCAGGGGACATGTAGCACACACGAAAAATATCATAAATATACATAAAATTTCGGTCGAAATACCCGAAAGTGACTGTTTACTAAGGAGATTTTGGCGCAGATGGGAGAGTAATATTAATATGGACACCAAGATGCACGGATGGTAGACACAGATGGGATTTATCTGCCTAAGGATGCGAACTTCTGCTTGATGTTGTGTACACTGCGACTATAACCAAGACAGACAAACAAACAAACTCTGATTCTGGAAACTACTACGGAAAATCAACAATGTTAACAGGTCCTCAAACTTACTCTGTGATTCCTTCAACCGTTTTTTTATAGTCCACTCAGTTCAACGACACTTCAGTCCCTTCGTAACTGAAAAACGTACTACAATAGTTTATTATACTTCCTTGTATTTAAGTCCTCCATACAACGGAGAAAGTTCTAATAAATTATAGATTTACAAAAAGTCAGTGACTAATAGGTAGCTAAAAATTAAAATGGATCAAGTTCGCTGTACGTCATTTCGGTAAAAACTGTTTTAAACTTACATCCGGTTCCTTAAATATATATACACCGGATGGTAGTAATTATAGTTACTTTCCTCTGTTTGAGAGTATGGACTTAGTTCGTTATACCTAGGAGTAAAAACTGAAGTTTTGTGCACTCATTTTCTCATGCCGTAATTAAAAACTGTGTGACAGGCTTATTTAGACTTAGTCCACTTTACTTCTGAGTCACCTAAACTGTTTATGTTCGCATTAAAGCGAACGTAATACTTTTGAAAGTATTGCACTTTTTCTTCTCTTGCTTATATTTCGAACTCGTGATTACCGCTGCACCGTTATACACATTTTCGGTACTGTACTAATTAGTGAAATTCTGCTAATGAGAGCATCGGACATGTCAGTCTTCAAACGGAGCAATGGTGTCAAGCAGTCCTACGGGGCATCTTGGATAAGAAGATCGACAGTCTTTGCCGCTTCTTCCGCGTTCCTCCGCGGCGCTGTAAACCGGATGGAGATTTTCATCTGCGGATGACGATGGCCTACGAAGCGAGTACATTCTCATTACTTTAAACTCTCAAGAAAGACAAGATTAAAAATAAAGTATTTTAGTCTGAAACACTTGCCAATTATATTAACAACCTAAACAATTAAGTGTCTAAACAAATTTAGAGTTAAGTACATGCCTTACCTACTAAGTGCTTTTTAGTATTAGTATCACTGGAATTTAAAGTTACTGTCAGTAAATAAAATTGGTAAGAATTGTTCAAACCTCTGGTGCCCAAATGTATGTTGGATTATGTAAAAATGTAAGCTATAAGTAGAAGGTACATACATAAATTAGGGTCTACAGAATTATCCCCAATATATCCCAAAAATAGTCTACCAAACACGTTTATTACTTTCCTTTTTAAGTCATTTCCCCGAAAGTAACTTCATAATGCTTCCTGTATCTTACCGACGTCAGAGGGCCGTATCATCAGACAGTATTCAAGAAGCAATGAATGAAAATAAAATCTAACATTTTCAAATGGTTATTACACATTACATCAATCACATAAATATTTATGAAAGGCTGTTTCCACGTACTCAAAAAGACAAAATTAGTTTTAATTAATACAAAACAGATGTCTTCAAACACTGGGAAATTATCTACTATACAAGTACACACATTTCTTTCGGGCGGATATCGTATGTACATGAAACATAGAGAGAAAATTAATTATATTAATTATAGGCTATCTTTAGTGAAAACTTAACATTTATAATGAGACATGTCGTGCCAAAACAATTCTTCTTTTTAAAAGGTATCAGAGAAGATGTATATAAATTAACATCTACAGATCGGCAAGAAACCGGAAGGAGCTATTTCTAATAGTTCAGAGTAGAGATATCATATGGGTAGTTGTAACGATACTCGATGCAGGCATTATATGAGGAAATTAAATTCAGTAAACGATGATTAATTATTGTTTTTTATAATAAAGCGAAGTCATACATTCTGTGAGACAAATTACCATTTATCAGCATACAGTTGTTATACACAGGTATAAAATTACTATAAATACTTCAGTATTGTTTAATAATACTCACGTGAAAATTATGTGTAGAATGTCACCAAAAAGTCCATTATGAAGTAACGGACTTTCAGCTGCTTCGCAGATTGTTCTCAACAGACATTCTCTACCTTTCAAACCGTAGCTGCGAAAAACAAATACAAATCACGGCACATAACTGTGCAAGAGAAGAGGGAGGCAGGAACAATTTGTGTAGAATTAACTGTGCACGCATTAGAAAATTTCATCTTCACGATGCCTGCAAACTGTGACGTCTTCTTTAGAAAATCGATAATAAAAGCTGATGTAAATGTACCAAAAATGATGTACATTTTTAAAAACTTACGCCTTTAATAATAATAATAATAATAATAATAATAATGCTATTTAAAAAAAAACAATGTCCCAAAAACTGTATACACACAATATATTATAATATGTATACATCTCTTTGGAACAAATAAGTATTTGCCGTAAAACATCGTCATTAGCAAATTTATTTAATTTTCACAAATATATTGAGTAATGTAAAAAAAAAATCCTTATAAGGTTTTAGATAAACAAAATTTAAGTCGCCTCTCACTACTTTCTAAATTTACAAATTCAACAGGGTTGGAATAGACATAATGATGTCACAGGCCCTATTAGGATAATTTCGTGGTCGTAGGGACAAATTCCTCTTCATTAGGGCGGAAGCAGTGACATATGGCGCCCTAGGCAAAGTTCAACATTTCGCCCCCCCTCCCCTTATTAACTTACGAAAATGTGTGATGAACGATGATTTACGTTGCTTAGCCCTGAGTGAAATGTGAAAGACTTTTCCCTTTTATTTTCATAACAAAATTTTATTTTAAAATATAATCGTAAAATTGGCATAACCAACCATAAAACCAATGCCTTTGCATATCAGGCCAAAAAATATCATAAATTACATACACTAGATTAGACCCGTTACACCTGTTCTCTATGGCTGATAGAAATTACGTAATCCAAATTTTATGCTTATATAAAAAGAGCCAGCACAGAAACAACTACTTTTAGTTACCATACGAGTGAGTTACGAATATCTGAACGTCACTGTGACAAATGAAATTAACTTCCAGCTCGTTTATCCACTCATTAAAGCAAAACAACCAATTTAAGAAAATGTAAAAATTTGAGGTTTTCACGGTGGTGAATCCATCATCAGGGCCACTCATGGCTAAAATAGAGGCAGCAAGGACCCCCCGAAACGTCGGTAAACTTCTACCGGACTACACGCCGCTACAGCCCATAAAATAACCATCTATGTAAAAAAAAATGTTTTCTCTCTTTATAACAAAACAAGAGTTTTGGACGAACCTTTTAAATCGCTTCTCTACAATTCGGTAGGCGCTACGTCTGTTGAACTGCCGCTCGCTTCGTGACGCGCTGGCCAATACAAAGGGCAGTATTAGTTCTGTGTAGTTGGATGGCAACTGGTAAGTAGCTTCGAAGTTCCAAGACACAGAAACGTCGTAACTTGCGTCTTCCAGAGGCACGGCAACGGCTAAATACAACTGCAATTTAGACAATGACGAATGTGTAATCACATATGTATTTCTCCCTTTCTCATTTGTCATTACGTAGACCATCACTTCAGGTGACACGCAATAGCATTTTCTGTGTGAGAAGTGACTTGCAGTGAGAGCCAACTACACGGAATGAGGAATCTTAGGCTAGGGACCCACTGGCGCGGCTGCCGTGCCGCGTCAGTGGGTTTCGCACCTATAAAAAGCAATACAAATAACAGCCGCGCGCGACAACACGCGGCTTGTCGCGCCAGTGGGTCCCTAGCCTAGCAGTTTCATCACTTTGTTGAGAATACTGGACCCTGCACTGAACCAGATACACCCAGGTTATATTTTCACTTATCATTTCTTCCTCACGCATTTAAATATTATCCTCCCATCCATTCCTGACTTCTAAGTCGTCTTCGCTTCAGTTTATCTGATTATCACGAATGGCGGTGACACAGAAAATGTTTAATTATTTATATAATTTTATACACTAATGAAACTGATTTTCAGTTAAACTTGGGTTTTAGGCGTGGGACAAAAACCCTCTCATAGTAAAGGTATATTACAACATGTCATACAGAATAGGTCTGAAACCAGCGGCCCGCGAATCGCATGCGGCCAACAATACCTTTTAATGCGAGTTGTCACATGATTTGGGAATTAGTAACTGCGGAAAGGGAAATATTTTCCTGCTACTAGAGAGAACATTGATGTGAATAAAAATAAGTATTATCTAACCACAATAAATTTTGTAAATGCAGGCCTATACGTTCACATCCGTTATGTTGTTAAAATAATAAGATTTTATCAAAACTGTATAAAAATTTCTGTGGTAATTGTAACTACAATTTTATAAAATTAGCAGTGACTTTAAATCAAAGCTTAAAAGCTAACAAAAGCCTTTACATGGAATTCAGTTATATGGATAAATACAGCTATCATTTTTTTTCGTAGAAATACCAGCTTTGATCTTTAAGCTAAAGAAATTAATTTTCTCTTGCTGTTTACGGGATTATTAATTTTTATTCTGCGACCCTCGACAAAGATATTAATAGCCAATGTAGCTAGCGGTAAATGCAACGTTTCCCGACCATTGTCATAAAGAATCCAGTCTTTCTATTTAATAAACACTATTTAATAAACACCTGTAAGTCCACTCATATGTGACTTGATGACACAATGTTATATCTCTCGGGAAATTATATAAATATTCATATATACACACCCCCATGGTGCTTGAGTCTGGGAACAGCGCGTAACGAGCTTTTCGAGACAAGACGGTTAAGTCTAAGTCATCCATCTGACTGGTGCTGGACCCGATCATCATCAAAGCTACCATTACTGAAGCCGCCAATCTGAAACAGAGTATTGTAATTTTAAACTCCTACATACAACACCCAGGCGTGCATCCATGAGTTGCTACTCCACCACTCTAGTCCTAGAAGGACAAATTCCTGCTCATGAGATGCGTGAATTTATCTTACGAGGTATGGCGGCTTTATATGATCATGCCTTCTGCA